AATAATTTTAAAAATTAAAATAGAAAAAAAAATTTAATAATATAAAATCTATATTGATATTAAATAAAATAGAAATCATAATGACTAAACAGTTGACAAATGAGTCATTTTTAATGACGTTAAAACTTGATTTACCTTTTGCGATTTAATGAGAGGCGTACAATAAAAAAAAAGAAAAAAAAAAAGAAGAGAAGAGAAAGGTGGAATTCTTTCGCGTTGATGTTTGGCTTTTTTAAATCGTGCCATTACCTTGGCAATGGTGATCAAAATGTGTTCATGTTGTGCGCCAATTATTTTCATCGTATAATAAATAATAGAAAAATGCACCGATATGTATGTATATATATATATAAAAGTGTGCATAAAATGCGACACGGTAACTTGCCATGTTGGCCCTCTTAACAAGTGTTCCGAGTCTTATTCTTTTATTAAAATATACATTCTTACTTTATAAACAACGGTATCACGAACTCTATCTAATTAATCAATTAATTGACTATATTTTCATTTCCATTAGATATACATAATTAATTTTTTACTGCATAATTTTCACTTATTAAGCTGACAATTTTTTTCTTTTTCAATTTCTATATAAATTATTATTTTTTTCAAATTTATTTTAAAATTCATTTTCAAATTCGTAAAAAATTGATTTCAATTTCTTTTAATGAAAATTTCTCAAATGAAGATTAAAAAAGAAATTTGTCAAATATATTTCCGTAAATTGAATTTTTACGAAAAAAAAAAAAAATTGAAAATCATGAAAACTAGAGTAAGTGTACCAATTACGGCGCGTCTATAAAAAATAACTATTATTACTATTATATTTAATATAACTGTTGCCAAATGATTAAAAAAAAAAATTATTATTATTTGAGATCAAATTTTTTTCCACGCTGCAAATTGAAACATTTTTAAGATTTTCATTTATATTGGCTCCAAATTTCGGCGGACAAATTATATCTTCAAAATACACGTATATTTTGCTCGCACCGAAATTGATAAAAACGCGCCGCAATAAAAAATTATGATATTAAATTTTAATTTCTCATATTTTTTTTAAATAATCGATTTTAATAAAGTTAAAAATTTTATTATTTTTTTTTATATCTTAATAACATAAGCTTTTTAGTTTAATAAGTTTTAAATTGAATTTATAAAATATAAAAATGTCGATTTTTCTATTATTTCAAAGGTGTTTTGACTCGAATTGCGCCGCAATTTGTGCATTTTTATATGATTGAAGAAAAAGATATACATAAACAAGAAAGTTTAATAAACCAAATAAGTAACAATATTCGAAAGTAGAAATCAATATATTATCGAGAAGAGAAGATCTTTACGAGATACAATATATTTGAAATGAAAAGTAATAATGTTACGAAACAGAGAGTTCATCACATATTCACACGTTAAAATTCAATAATAATAATAATCATAATCATACTAATCATAATAATAAAAATAATAATAATAATAGTAATAATAATAATAATAATAATAAAAATAATAATAATAATAATTTCAGAAAAACAGTAATGAAAATTTTGAACTTTGATAAAAATTTTACTAACAAAAAAATACCGAAAAGAAAAATGCAAATTTAGTAAAATAGAAAATTTCAAAATCGAATTTTTCAACTAACGAACAGGGACATTTTTTATTTTTGAAGAAAAAGTTTTGTAATCGATTGGAATCCTAATGGTAGTTGTGTAATAATGTATATAACATTCAGTTAGCCCAGGAACTGAGACTTCTTAAGTCTCTCTGGTAAAAGTCATTAAACTTTGTTTGTGTGTGTGTGTGTGTGAGTGTGTTTGGCACGCTACGCGATTAAACTCCCGAGACGCGCACTCACGTTTTTATTCTTTACCAGTGCGTATACATAAAATATACATCCTCAAGTGTATAACCATTTTATGCACATTTCTATATATATATATATATATATTACACGCACAACTTTGAAGCATTAGTTTATGCGCGCTTTCTGACGAAACAAAATCTCCCACAGTTGAAAGGAATTAGTGCAGATTTCTTTTACCGGATTTTTTTTTTTAAGTGTTTCCTTCCGACACACTATTTCTAGCTAAATGTATAGAGGCGCCCTATAGATAACGTAAATTGCACAAAGCGTTTGAAAAAGAAAGAAAGAAAGAAACGATCCATTCTATATTCATGTTTGAATTATGCAAATAACAATCAGGAAGCAAAGCCTAAATTCAAAAAGCAACACTACTGAGAGAAGAAAGAAAAAAATGAAATAGGTCCAAAAAAGAGATGTGGAAAAAAAGAAACAATATTAAATTATTTCCTTTTCAAAAAAATAATTTAGGAAAAATAAAATTATCACATTAAAATCTTAATAGCAAATTAATTTGTGAATTGCTTCATATTACTAATTAGCCACGGTAAAATATATTATACCAACAAGATGTTTCCCATACATTAATAATATTTCAAAATAAAAACTTATAATTACGGAAGCAAATGTTTTCTACGATCAACAATTTTTTTTTTGCTAAAAAATTTTTTTTTTCAAAAGTTAGATAAATATTTCTCTAAAGAATTAATTAATTAATATTATTAATAATAAAAATAATAATTAATTAATATTATTCATAATTTATAATTATTTTTAATGAGTAAAAGAAATTAACTAAATTTGAACTGTTACAATGTTCAACAGTTCACAAGTGAATTATTAATATTTTTAACAATGAGATATATAACCTAAAAACGAAAAATTTTGTATAATTTTGAATTTCTTACTTGGTTTTTCCTGAAAAAGCGCAACATTTCTTCAAATTTCTTTTTTCTCTTTTCTTTAAATTTTACTTTGAGGTTAACTTTTCTTTCAAATACTAATTCCTCACGTATTTTAAATTTACACATGATAATCACTATATTCACATTTTCTTGCATTTTTTTTCGAATGTATTTTTGTCAGAGAAATTTACTTTTTATTAATTAAAAGCAAAGAAAATTGGCAAATAAAATAATACACGTGATGAACATGATCCATTTTGGATCCACTATGACCACAACCATAAACTAAAATGAAAGAGAGGAAACTTGTATCTAACTATGATTAATCCTGATTGGTTAGGATAATTTCTAACAACCAATCAGAATATTTTAATAGGAATACTTTATTTTTGAATTGAATATACGATTGCTGATTGGTTACGCAAATTTCCAACAATAACCAATCAATATTTCAATAGAAATACGCGCGTTATTTCAAATTGAATACACGATTAAGTAAATATAATTATTAGAATGGAAAATTAATTATTGTTAAATTATCAATTAAATAGATAAATCTAATTATCAAACCAGAAATTTAATGGTGAGATCGACCCTAAATGTTTTTTTTTAAAATGTTATAATTTAATTATTATTTTTTTTTGCATTAATAATTTATTTAAATTAAAAAAAAATTTGCTGAACAAATTTTTGATAACAAAGTCAAAAGATAAAACTTTCACAAAAGGGAACTTAATTTGAGAACAATATATATTCGGGAAAGGTAATTTAGAAAAAAAAAAAAATTAACCCGACATTGTTGACACTATTTACACACACACACACATACTTTCTACGTTCTACTTCAGTTAATTTTTCCACAATTATAGAAATCTACCAGGTTCCCACAAGTTCCTGTAAATAAGAACATTCAAAAACTCCAAATAATTATATTCAGTGTTTTAAATACTATATTTATTTCCCAAGGGGGAAATTTTACTGCCCAAAGATCTTTGGCAATCAGAAAACCTCATCAGTATTCAAAAAAAAAGAAAGTATTCAAAAAAAATTTATAATAATTTAACACAAATCTATTAGAATTTATTAATTAGATATTTATTAATTATTTATTTATTGTTATTAATATTATTAATATTTATTATTAATTTTATTATATTTTTTTAATTTTACTAAATTATTATTAATTAGATATTTATTATTTATTTATCTATTATTAATATCATTAATATTTATTATTAATTTTATTAAATTATTATTAATTAGATATTTATTATTTATTTATTTATTATTATTATTAATTAGATATTTATTTATTTATTTATTATTATTATTAATTAGATATTTATTTATTATTATTATTATTATTATTAATTTTATTCTATTTTTTTTTAATTTAATTTTTTTATTTGTAAAATATTTAATGTAAATTTTGCATTTTAAGAAATTTAATTTAATCGAATTTGCATGTAAAAAAAATGTTAATTTTATCAAATTCTAATTTAATTGAATTTGCATTTATTTAACTAAAATTGTCATTTTTTTTTTGTTTCTAAATTTTGAAATGTAAAATTTATAGAAACTCTGAAATAGTAATTTTCAAGTCCTATAAACGTAGACAACTGAATGGAAGTTCGTATATATAATTATAACGCTTCAGTGAATGATCGTTCTAGATCATTCATCAACCGGAATTCATTGATTGAAATCGGAATTCCATTGTTATATTATAAAGAGAGAGAGAAAAAAACGATAATGTGGGTCAGACGATTTTTTTTTTTTAGACAAAATTCTATTTGTGATGGGAAATTTCTTGTTTGCAAAAATAATTATCGATTTTCAAAAACTTTCGATATTAAAAAGTGAACTCAAGGCTTCTCCTCACACAAGTGAACCTGTACTTTTCCCTGATTCTATGATTTTACTCTCTTGATTCTTTTAAGAGTCAACATGAAGGAGGCTCGCCTTCGAAGTTGTTCTTGAACTCTCTCTCTATAATGTATGTAGCACATCGTTGCAAGATTACGGTGCGAAGCGCGACTCGGCCATTGACTCGTAACGGAACGAGATGAATCGCGTCATTTGTTAATTTTTGATTCCTTTTTTTTTAAAACACCATCTAAATAAATTTGCAAACTCTAACAAAACGAAAAATAATTTTTCAAATAAAATAAATTTTTCGTCACCTATTTCTTGAAGAAGGAAAACGAATTGAATTTTTTTTTTTTTTTCAGGTATGACAACAATGAAACCACCACCGCGGTTGCTGCTGCTGGTTGGAATGCTTAGTGTTACAATGGCAACGTCACCTTGTCCGTGGTCAAGTCACGTGCCAAAACTTGATGGCTCTTGTATTTGTGATTACAATCTCGCCAATGAATTATCAATTCAATGTGATATTGTTGATTATAATCAATTAATAAGGGCAATGCGTCGTTATGCTGGTCAAATGTCAATTGATCTTTTTTACGTGAATAACAGTACAATTGGAACATTAAATTCATCATTGTCATCCCTTAGAATAACAAATATTCAACTTTCTGGTTGTCGAATAAAAACAATTGAATCTGATGCCTTTAAAGGACAAGAGACGAGTCTTCGAACATTAAATTTAAGACACAATGAACTCACTGAAATTCCATCATTAGCCCTTAAATCATTGACAAATCTAACTGTTCTCGATCTTTCTGTAAATAAATTTAAAACAATTGACGATGAAGCATTTTTCAATTTAAAATTGGTAACATTAAAATTATCCGATAATCCAGTGGTGCTTAATTCAGGTGCATTTAAAGGTCTTGAAAAGACATTAAAAAATTTGAATTTAAAAGGAACGAGACAAAAAATTGTACCCGAAGCACTTCGGGGATTGGGTGCTCTAGCATTTTTAGATTTATCACAAAATAGTATTCAACGATTACCAGGACTCTCGGGAATTAAGACATTCGAGGGATTAAATTCATTAACTGGTTTAAATCTCGAGAGGAATTTAATTGGTGAAATTGGTCCAGATGCATTTTACGGCGTTAAAAATACACTAAGTTCACTTAGTTTGCTAAACAATGTTCTACAGGTCTTTCCAACTAGCGCCATCAACAGCGTTCATGATTTGAAGGTTTGTATTTTTATTGTTCTAAAAAAAAAACAGAAACTAATTAATTTTTATTCCAGGTCTTGGATATTGGATTCAATTTAATTGCCGAATTACCAATAGAAGCATTCAAAAATAATCCATCAATAACGCTACTTGCTATTGATGGTAATCCCTTGTCATCAGTGCCCGAGGAAGCTTTTCTTCGTTTAAACAAAACCCTACGTGGTTTAAGTCTTGGAGGTCCATTTCTCGTGTGCGATTGTAAATTACGATGGATCGTCGAATGGATGAGATCGCGGGACCTTCAAGTAACAAGTCGTGAGAAACCAATCCAGTTTTGCGGCAGTCCTCACAGACTTCAAAACATCAGTTTTTATAATATTGACCCTGAACGTAAGTAAAATATTTTTTTTCCCTCCACATTCCTTCGCTCTACCTGTAATCAATTTAATTTTGTTTTTTGTTTTTTTTTAATTTTCAGAAATGGTTTGCGAAGGTACTACAGAAGTGGTAGGAATTGGAACAGTGGAAAGTGTCGATACAAAAGGACCATTTGGACCAGTAAATGGAGTTGTTGAAGGATTATTACCAATGCGATCAACAAAAGAACCAAAGACGACGACAACGACGACAACAACAATAATTCCTAGTACAATGTCAACTGAAATTTCAATAATTGATAAACAATCAACACATTTACCAACAACAACTTTTTCAACATCTACAAATATTCCATTATCATCATCATCATCATCATCAACAACAAATCGTCCAATGTCAAGAACTGGAAATGTCTACATAACTCGAACAACAATGCAACCGAAATTTAATTCAGAACCAGTTCAACAACAACCAAAACATCCTCTTGTCTTTGGTTCACCGCCTTTTAAATCAAAAGCCGACAGAGAGGAAATTATCGTCAAGGACGTTCTCAGACAAGATAATTCTGTAATTATTTTCTGGGATACTGAAGCGCACAATATTTTGGGATTCCGTGTTATTTATAGACTATTTGGTGATTCAAGTTTTAAACAAGCACCGCCATTAGAAGCAAGCGAGAGAGAATTTAAAATAAAAAATGTCCCATCACAGGTAAGAAAATAAAAATAAAAAGAAAGAAATTAATCGAGAAGAAATTGAATTTTTTTCCTTTTTCAGGAATGCATGGTGGTTTGTGTTATTTCATTGGAGGATACAAATGTAACACCAGCAAATGTACCCTATAATCAATGTCGTGAAATAAGAACAGACAATTCACCAACATCAAATATGGATAAAATAACAATAGCCGCAAGCGCTGCAATTTGTGCAACAATTGTCGTGGCAGTTATTATATTTTTAGTTGCAAATCGTCGTCGAGCAAGAAAACTTCATACTCTACATGATATGGATCATCAGACAAAAATGGGTGGACCAATAACAAGTTTACCGGTTAATTGTTGTTCAACAGTTGGTCCAACACCAAGTCCAGGTGGTCCTCTACCATCAATGGCAACATTAAGTGCATATAATGCACAAAAAGAATGGGATCAAGTATCAGCGTATAGTGGACGTAGTATACCAAGGCCAAGAATATTTCCCGTTGATCGTCAAGGTAATATTTTTTTAAAAAAAATTTTCCTTTTCAAAGAAAATAATTGAACATTGATTCAATTTTTGTATTTTCTTTTACAAAAATCAACTGAAAAAAACAAAAATTAGTTAATAAATATTTTACTTTTAAATAACTATTTATTTTATTATAAAAATTAATTCAATAAGAATTAAGAAAAATGTTCAATTATTTTTTTTGCCTAGGATCTATAAACAGAGCATCATGTATTGATGAACTTCGACAATCACAATCAGGGCATTACACTACTGGAAAATCGCCACGTTCCATTGCTGATGGACAATCACAACATAGTTTCTCAAATAATTCATCACGTTATTTTGGCAATGCTACATTGACATCTAATTTGATTAACACTAGACCAGGTTTGTTTTTTAGCTTCAGTTAAAAAGAAAATTAAATTAAATAATAAAAATTTTTTTTTTTTTTTTTCTTTAGAACTACGACAATCGCGTCAATCATTGGCAGCAGCTTCTGATAGAATGTCAAGAGCAAGTTTTCCAAATGTCAATCATTTACCACCGCAAGCAACATCGCGAAGACAACGTCCACGTTCACGAAATCGTACATTGGAACAAAGTCATGTCCCACGTCCAGGAAGTCGATATAGTTTAGCGGAATCAACACACACGCTCAATAATTACGATGAGAATAATTATGATCACGATATGGATATTTATATGGCTCGTAATCCAACCACAAGAGGTGGACTCGTTCCACTTTAGAATTTTCGATTTTTTTTTTCTTTTTTTTTGCTCAACTCGGAAAATTCGTCAATGATTATTATCGTGCAATAATCGAACGAAATTTTATAAAAAAAAAAAGAAAAATCAAAACTTGTCTTCCCTTTTTGCAAAAAGGAATATCTATTTTTAACTAATCTGATTTTCAATATTTCTAGATATTTTTGAAATTATTATATATAAATTTGTAATAAAAAGAGAAAATGTCTGCTAAAATTTATCACTAATTCTCTTAGTGTACAAAATAGAAAATGATAAATACTCAATGTACAGACTAATTTCCTTCTATTAAATTCTAAAAAAAAAAAAAAAAAAAAATAACATTATTCTAAGAATAATATTCAAGAATTTAATAGAACGTTTAGTTTTTAGAATTTTTGAAAAATTCATAATTAGTTTCTTTTCCATTTACTGAGATTAGAGAGTTTTTTTTTTTAATCAAATTATGGCAAAAAGAATCAGTGCAATGAAGGCCGGATAATTTCCAAAGAAATTTTTTTTTTTTCTTGAGAAAAACTCTCACTGAAACTGAGTTTTTTTTTAGTAATAGAACCACTACACTCATTTTCAGTACACAAATGTGACTCAGTATTCACTGGTAATTATAATAATTGTAAATATCGTTTACCAAGTGACTTTTTATATATCTATTTTTTAATTAAAAAAAAAACAATGGAATATTTTGTACTCGACTTCGATAAAATTAGAAAAATAAAAAGATTTACTCACCCTGGTATGAAGCTGCCTTTATCCCAACGAAATCGTATTTCCTGAATGAATTCAAACCACAATTGAGAAAATGCCTTAATCCCACCTGATGATGATAAACAATAAACAGCAACAATTGCCAATCTCCATATTAAACTTCCAATTGCACACGATTTAATTCCTTTCCATTTGTTCTCGTCAAAATTGTAATTACTCAAATCCTCATAAGGATGAATCTAGAAATTTTATTTTAGAAAAAAATTATGTAATAAATAATTTAAAAAAAATTATTAAAATAACTTACGCAATTTTCATCAGCATCGGGAAAAAGAAAATACATTATTGGAATAAGATTATTTTCCGAAATGGGACCCTCGGAATTTTTTCGACGAAATTTCGGTCCTCTTTTACCCACGACATTTGATATCGTTGGTATTCTTGATTCAGTTAATATATTAAATGCCAAACTCAATGATGATTCTTCATTTTCAAAAAATGCCAAATCGCCAATAATATCCGTTAATAATCTTTGATCGTGGCATATTTGAAAAAATTTTGTTAAACTATCGCCGAGAAGACAATTTGGTGAATGTGTACTTTTAACTAACAATGACCATTCTGGCGCTAAAAGTGGATCTAAATCACTAAATCCTTCACTATCGACAACAATATTTTCCGCTATTTGATGCCAAGTGGTAAATAAATGTAATTCCCTAAAAAAAAAAAAGAATTTTCTAATTAAATCAAAATTTCGATTAGAATTAAATTTTTTTTAAAACTAACCTTATTGGATCGTAACTTGCTCCAAATGGAAGTTTACCCATTTCAGAAACGCCAATTGTCTCTCCTTGTAGAAATTCAAAATCAGGAAATTCTTGCGGTAATTTACTATTGATCCAATCTTTAATAATATACGAAAATCTAATAGATATAATTGCTGGATCTAATCTCAAACCGCATCCTTCACTTATTTTTTGCTTAAATAATGTAAGTAAACCTGAAAATGAAAATATTTTCAAAAATAAAATCATTACTGAAATATTAAAATACCAAAACTATAATAGTTTTTTTTAATATAAAATTTTCTTTTTTTTTCTCACCATTTAAATGTTTGCAATGAGGTGGAGTTCTTTTTAAGTGTATCATATTAAAATTTACTTTCGATCCCCTTCCAAGACCAACTCCAAGGTAAAATTGTTGCCATAATTCTAAAACTTGAACAAAAACTGGAACTTCGCTGCAAAAAAATTTTTTAAAACCAAAATATTATTATATTTTAATACAATAATTTTATTAAATTTATATTAAATAAAAAAAAATGGAAATAGAAATAAAAAAAAAACCAATTACCAATTTGAATTACTGGCTGCAATCGCTAGAGAACTGAGAAGAATTTTAATTCTCGTTTCATCGAGAATGGGAGTTCGTTTTGATGGAATTAAAACCAAAAATTCTCTCACTCCATAAAAACGAGCTATTTCCAAATGATTTCCATTTAATTGGGCAAAATCATTTGAAGCATTAAGAATATCTTTTTGACATTGTGTAAATGTATCTTCAACATCTTCACCACAGCCTCCAATTGATTCATTTAATTCTGTCTTTAATTTATAATGTTTAAAAGTAAATTCCACATCTAAAGAAAAATAAATAATAAATTCAAGAAAAACTTATAAATCAACATTAATTGTTTATAAAACGTTTTTTACATTATTAAAAAGAAAGGTTAATATTTATCCTATGTATACATTCGAAAGTTACTTTCTATAATTGATAAACATAAATAAATATAGAAAAAACTAACCTGCAAAGTTCAACTTCTCAGAGACTTCCAACCAACGTAAATTAATAAAATCTTTTTCCTTTAAAGGTGGACCAAATGTTATTTGAGAAAGTTTCCATTCGTGAAGTATTTCTTCAATTCGAGCAATAAATATTTCCCATTCTGTAGCAGTTGTAAAATCAAGATGATGAACATCCTCAGCAATTTCGTCGTTATTCATTATTGGCAATTGTTAAAAATTCATTAAAACTATTGAGAAAAAACTAATATTTACACTCAATTATAAATCACTGATTTAATTCACGTATTTTTAAGAACATATTTAAGAAGAAAAAAGTTTATAATTTTGAGAAAGTAAATTTATTTCAATTCTGTGAAGTTGGCAGACAAAGTGTAAAGAAAACAGGTTGTAGTATGCAATTGCACATGCGCTACTACAACTCTCTCATTGGTAGAAATAGGGCGTTCTTATTTAAACCATTAGAAAAATTATTTTCTACTTTCAAAATAAATAATTAATTAAAATTAATGTTTGCAAAACATAATTAAACATATAAACAATAAATTTAACCACTTACAATTTTTTTTTCCAGTTTTTTTTTTAAATACAGTATTTTAAATAAGGGCGCCTTTTTCTACTAACTTCACGTAGCTCGATTGACGGTTATAGAAAATAGCAGAAGAGAATAATTTTGGGGTTATACTCTAGAGACAGTGTTATTGTTTGTTAGTGTCATTATTTACATTATTAGTTTAAAATTAATTAAGTTTTTAGTATAATAATTTATTTTTATGTTGTACCTTATATAATTATATTTCTATAGTATTTAAATAGTTTGGAAAAATGGAAGACTTTTTTGAAAAAAGTGATGAAAAAATGAAAATGTTTGAAACAGCGACGTTGGTGATCAAAAATCAGCATTCTTTTATGTGTAATTATTTATATATACACTAAGTATTATACACTAAGTATTAATTATTTCTGATAATAATTAAATAATATTATTATAGATAAAGATGATATAGAAGGAAATCTTCTTCTGGCAAAGGAAAACTTGGATATTGTTTCAGAAGGAAAGAAATCTTTAAAAATACATTTGAAAGAATTAAAAGAAGGAAATGAGCGTTGTAAGGTAAATAACAATTAATATATAATATAGATAAATAATTTAGTAAATACAGTAAATTGTAAAAAAAATAATTATATCCACTAGGAAATGTTATTGATGCTAAAAACACTTGAAAACAATTTGATGCATATGGAGAAAAATATTCCAACTGGAATAAAAGATTTTTTGAAATTACAAGAAACAGCAGAAATTAAAAATGAATATGCAAATAATGAAGAAAAAGAAAATATGTCTATTGTATCAAATGGTGATGTTTTTACTCCCGATTCACAAATATCGATTAAAGATTGTAAAAAATCATTGTTTAAAGAAGTTGATGCTTATCCATTAATCAGTCCAGTTACACAGGAAGAATTTACAAAAATTCCAAAATATATAATTGGCCGACAAACCCTGAGCATTATTAATGGTTTAATTACGTCTATTAATCAAATTTTAAAAGCAAAGTACACACTTTTGTCATTGGGTAAAAATGGAGCAAGGAAAAAAGGAGATTTAGATCTATATCTTGAATATAAAAAACAACAAACATCTGTTGAAGAAGGAGAAGGTATACAAAAATTTAGGAAAATTAATATTTAATTTCAAATTTAATAAATGTATTTTATAAATAATTTATTTATCTTTTAGGTAAAATATTTTTCTTTACTGCTGAAGATTATCAAAAACATACGTCAACAAAATTGGATAAAATTAAATTAAACATGTTAACAGCTTTACGTTCCTGTCGAAAATTACGAGAAATTAGAATTGGGAAATCATTATTTTACATGGTAGTAACTGTGAATTAAATTGTAAATGTAATTTAATTTTGTTAAATTTAAAAAAAAAAGAACAAATTAGACAATAATTTTATATAAGATAAACTATTATAATAAAACAAAAAATTTTAATAAAAATATTTAGAAAAATATATAGTTATGGAATTAAATGTTTTTTATTGAAATTTTAAACCGCTTTTATTTGAAATAAATCGATTTGCTGATAATCGATAAAAGTGTACGTCACAGCGCAACAACAACAAACACGTGTGAAATCATCTTTTTGTTATTATTCATATTTTTTAATCATTTAATATATGTTGGCTAACTAAAAACTATTTAGTGACAATATTAAATAAATAAATAAATAAAAAATTCGTTTAATTTGTGAAAGTTTGACAGTTGCAATTTACTTTTTGACATTTGTTGAATGAAACCTAACCTCTTTCGAACAGTAATTTTTCTATTAATTTTGTATAGTTGAGCAGAAAAATTATAAAGAAGAACATAAAAAAAAAGAATTAAATCTTGAGATAAATATTCATTTAAAAAAACGCAAAATTCTGAACTGAGATTTATAATTCAACAAAGTGAACATAACCTCATTGCACTTTTAACAAGACAAATTTTTTCTTGAATTTAAACGATTTTATAAATTAAAAAATGGCTATTGATAACAAAACACGTTTATCAAAGTCCATTTTGGACATGAAGGTAAGATGCAAAATCTGTATTAAAATTTATCTATATATAGAAAATTAATTTTGTATTTCTTTGTAGTTTATGAAAAGAAGTAAAGAAAAAGTGGAAAAGGAACAATTCCAAGAGGAAGGCGAAGAATACTTTGATAATCAATTGACATCTTATATGAGAAAACAAACGTAAAATTATTTTTTTATATTCTTAAAAAAAAAAAATTATTTTAATTAACTAATTTTTTCATACCTTTTTGTTACAGGGGACAGTTTATTATAGAGCCAAGTTATCTTATTTGTGAACAATTAATTGACGGAAGAGTAAGTTTTCAGGGTATGAATCCTGAAATTGAAAAAATAATGGAAAATGAGGCACAGGGTAAAAATCAATCACAATTAAAAAAAGAAGAGGAAGCTGATGTTTCAGATTCTGAAATGGCCGATAGATTTCGTAAATTAAAGAAAATTAAAACAGATAATCATCGTATTAAATCAGTGCACAAAAAATGGTTAAAAAAAGAAGATAAAGATAAACCTATTGAGAAAAAACCAAAATTTTTAAAACCCCAAGATTAATTATTATTTATAGTTAAGATTTATAAAAATTACTGAATATAAATTTAAATTGTCGACAATTGTTTTTAAGACTTACATTATGTATAAGATAAAATTATCTTTAAGTGTATTTTCTATTTTACTGAATACAAATTTTCTTTACAAAATTCGAAAGTTATATTTTTTTATTTAAAATAGAAAACTAATTTTGAAATTTTGCGCCAAAGTTAAATCAGTATGGCGCGTTCGGTCACGTGATCGAATTTAACGAATCAAATTGCTTCAGGTACAGAAAACGCTGAAGAATTATCGACCAATCGCGTCATAGTTTATTCCCGACATTTAAACGCACAAGATTTCTCTAAAATGTCCTTAAATTCATTCTAAACTCCTTATTTATTTAAATACAATTCTATCCTTTAGTTCCCCAGTGTTAATTTTTATTTAAAATCTGTTATTTACTTTTAGAATAATTGTATAAAATTAGTTTTTATTTAATTTCCCCTTCCACCACGCTGTTTGTAAAGTGGCTTCCTTCACGCATCTTGTGCGTTTTCCCAGAAAAGAAAATGGCTGCCAGCTGTCATTTAGTGCTTAAGTGGAACTTATAAAAAGCCAGTTTTAATGAAATAAACACACACTGGTTGATCCAGATAATTCAGTGCAATTAAGTAACATGACAGTAATGAAAATAAATAACATTCTCGAAAGAAATATTTGAGTTTAAATCAATAGTGCCATGATTAATAATTCGATTTTCTGTTTACAATTTTTCTTCATCTAATGTGTAAAAAATTATGTGCTTTAAAAGACGTGATCAGTCTTTGTGTTAAATTTGCATTTTCAAACAAATACGTAAATTCGTTGTGATCAATAATAGTTGTAATCCACGACGTGAGGCAAGAGTTCATACTTCCTCCCCCTCTTTTTCTCCTAGTCCTTCCCCTCTTTTTATATCAACGCAACTCGACTTCTGGTGCAGATTTCTCCAAATTAAAGTAAGTCCCGAAAAATTTAATTTACCATTTTTATTAAAAATAATTAATGAAGCATGACAATTATATTTGAATTTTTCCTTAACAAGAATATGTTCATGTTTATGATGATATTTTATAAAAAATCTTATCTCAATTTATCGCCTTCTACACCATTGATAGAGAAAAGACTTGCGCGAAAAAGGCCCAAATTAGTCTGATACAATGCGTCGTAGAAAAATAATTTTTGAGAATTAAAAAAAAAAGAATATAAAAAAGTTTATGTACATTAATTTTTATTATTATTATTATTATTATTATTATTATTATTAAAAATAACGATTTGTGTCGTTCAACTGAAATAGCCTTACGTGATGTTTGGTTGAACTACGGGGATGAAAATTTGTTTTCCTCCCTTGTATAACTCCACCATTATAGCCGACATTTAATTTATCATTAAATTGATTTCATAAAATAACGTAATATTCGAAATATCCAAATATATATTTTATTTAATTTTCTTCTAATAGTTTCTGTTAATTGAAATAAATTATTTTTAAATTTTAAGAAAAAATTAGTTTTGAATTTATAGTCTTATCAAAGGATTGCTATTGAGAAATAGAAAATAATTCGTTTTTATTTTATTAACTATAAGTGATTCTACATTAGAATTTAATGTAAATAATTTCTTTCATTTACAAATTATGATAAATTTTTATGTGACCTAAATTTTTCATATATTTGAATTTCAGAAAATATTCTTTATTTTTTTTTTGATAATTAATATTTAACTTATTGATATTTTACCAAGGATTTAATTATAATATTTAAAATTTAGTTTTTTTTTATTTAAAAAATATTTATTCACATTCTATTTAATGTAAAAGATGTAATAAATTTTTTTCAATTGTGAAATATGAAGTTATTGATTGAGTCGATAATGGAAAAAAAAAGAAAAAAAAAAAACTTATCATTAAAAATAGTAGTAATCTAAAAAGATATAGGTATGTGTGAAATAGAAGCAGGCATGGAATAAGAAAGAGAGAACCTGGGGTCCTGGGCCCCCACTGTCAGTGAAGCCATAATTACTGGAAGGGGATCTCCGCTTTGGTAAAGGGGACTTTCGTACAGTTTGTAACCCCCCAGTGAACTGTTCATAATTATCAGAAAAAGTAGCGCAGTCCCCTCGATTCAAACCGAATTTCAGTATTTTTAATAGACGAAATATTTTCAAAGTTATATTTTATTTTTGTAAATTTAATAAATCAAGGAATTTTTATGAAATTTATTAATGGTAAATTAATTTTTATAATTTAATTAATTGAAAATAGACAATTTGAATTTTTTTATTTCTTTCCTTTAAATGAGTTTTGCGTGTCTATTAATAGATACAAGTAGTATTTTAAAAAAAGGAGGACTTCCTCTCTATAAGAAGATTTAGGGGGAAATGTTTGATAGGATGTGAAATTTTAAACCCTAAAAAATAAAGAAAAAAAAAAATATTCTAGGAAATTTTAAAAAGTTTTTTAAATTAATTTTTATTTTTTATTAGACAATCATGGGTTCCAGTCAGCAATTTTCATTAAGGTGGAACAATTATTTAAAGCACATTACCTGTGCTTTCGACACTTTAAGAACTGATGAAGATCTGGTTGATGTAACGCTAAGTTGTGAGGGAAAAAGAATTAGAGCCCACAAAATGCTTTTATCCGCTTGCAGTACATATTTTAGGGACTTATTTAAGGTATTGTTGAAATAATTTTTTTATTTTTCTTATGTGAAGGAATTTAAAAAAAAAATAATAATATTTTTTTTACAGGAAAATCCTTGTCAACATCCAGTCGTTATATTTCGAAACGTAAAGTTCGATGATTTAGCGGCATTAGTTGACTTTATGTATCAAGGTGAGGTCAATGTAGTTCAGGAACAGTTGGCCAGTTTTTTGACGACAGCTGAACTTTTGGCAGTTCAAGGTCTTACAGATGGCAGCGGGAAAGATAACGACAGTTTAGTCGAGGTCTGTTTAAAGAATAATTCCTTCATTATGAAATAATTTAATTAATTGAAAAAAATTCGAAATTATTTTTCATATTTATTTTTTTATTAAAATAAAAATTTAAATTATATAAATCTACAGGATGACATTGAAATTCCTAACGAGCCAGAAGTACAACTACAAAATGCTTCCGGTAGGATAACGACAAATAATAAAGGAAGTAAATCGCCTGCGTCACCAGTGGAACTTCAATCGGAGCCACCGCCCACAAAAAAAAGAAAATGTCGAGAAAATTCAAATATTGATAAGGGAACGAAAAATTCAGAGAAGGCTGATAGTCAAAAAGGTGTTTCGGAACCTGTGGAAATAATACCTCTTATGCCAAATCTTAAACTTGAAATGCCAGAATATTTGGAACAGGATGGCAGTAGTTGTAGTTACGATGATCAGAGTGCAGGCGATTCGAATAAATTGGGTATTGACGATAATCCATCTGATAATCAAGATAACGATCAGAAACCGGACATTAGTCAAACATTTTATTCTAATCAATCAACGTCTGATAGCCTTGATGGCAAACAGGCGGAATTAGGTAAATTTAGATTTTTTTTTAAATTAAATTTCATTCACAATTGGAAAATTAAATTTTTCTTCATTTTTTTTTGTTACAGGACACTTGCTTTCAAAGCCAAGTACGTCAGGGGAGAGATTAGCACAAGAATCAGCACAAGGTGAGTGATTTTTAATTAATTTACATGCCTTTTCGATAGTTTGCTGTCGTTGCCACGTCTCCTTTGAATGATTTTGGACAAAATTTTTCCGTAGTTTTTTTTTTTTAATGTATTTACTTAGATACGATATTTAACACTAAGTGGGAAAAGTTTATTTGTATTTTTTTTGCGTTATTCTTGGGAAAAAAAAAAAAATATTGGAAAGTTGGAGACTGGCACTTTAGCGAACCCATGAAAGAATGAAAATGAATATTTACAAAAGACGATTATCATTTTTTATTATTTGTTTTTTAATTGATAACTTTTTATAAAGAGAAATAATAATTTCAATATTAAGAAATAATTTCTATTTACATTTTTTATTTTAAATAAAATAATTTTCATTCTGAATTGTAAATAGAAGAATTTTTCATTATGCATAGAAAATTGTACAAAGATATATTCTTTTCTTACCAATGTTTTACGTCAATTCGGCTTTTTTTTTGCTATTAATTAAAAATTTCTAATTAAATAATTAAAATTATAGAAACTTTATCTAAAATATTCTATTGCTAGAAATTTCGATGGGTCAGATTTTTTCAAGAATTTTTCACTTTAATAATACACAATGGCTCGGTAGCACTTTCGGCTTTGCATTTATCCTACGCTGATTCAAGCGAATTCGCTAAAAAAAAAAATGTGGGTCAAGATAGAAGCAATAATAAAATTAAAAAAAAAAATATGAAAAAATAACTAAACTCAAAAATTAGTATCAAAAGCTTAGCTTCGGGAAGCGTTTTATTATTGCTTTTCATGTGTTAATAGCATTACCCTACTGTGAACCTGATGGCAAACAATATTTTAATAAAATCTTTCAAGTAGTATCACATTTGTTTATTAAAAAAGCAATTTTCACAATTTAATTTTAAGAATTAATTTTAATTTCGAATAATTAATTTTTTCATAAAAAGTAAAATCATTTAATTTATCAATGAAATAAAATATTAAATATAAAATGTAAATTAACAAATTTTCTGCCTCGAAATTTAAATCAGGTTCACAAGCTGTAAATTAACGCAAAAATTGATCTGTGTATATAAATCTGGTGGTTATTATATTTATAATGTATATATACATATATATATTAAGGCAAAAAACTTTCTTTTTTCTTGCAAGTGATTCTACTTTCGTATAATAATATTTATATCTGCGTGTTAATATTTAGGGTGATGAGTGCATGAGTTGTAAATTGTCAAAAAAATATATAAACAAAATATTGTGTGTTTGGGATAAAAAAAAAAAATTATTGGGTTTTAGGTGAAGTTGTATAAAAACTAGTAAGAATTGTCAAGTGCTGTATTATGTGTGCCCACAATCAGCAATATTTCCAATAATAACTAGATCAATGATATCGATTAATTTCTTTTATTAATACTAACCGTAATAATAATTAAAATATCACGATAGAAAAAAGCTATCGAAAAGGCTCGTGTAATCCAAATAATCCCCCAAGCAATAATTAAAACAAAAACAAAAAAACCAGTAAGCTCAAAACATACTTTCAGTATCCAGAGTTCTTTTTCATGCAAAATTAATCTGATTCATCAAAAATTATAAATTATCTTAATTAAAAATTTCATTCAAATTACTTCCTTTAAAAAAACCAAATAAGTTTGTAAAAAAAAATTTTTTCTTTAAAAAAAACTAATATAAATTTTAAATTATTTTTTCAATTGGAAAATTAAATTTTCGATTTTGTTGAAAAATTTAAATTGAGTATTGAAACTCATAAATGATAAATGAAAAGATTAATTTTCTGAATAAGGCTCTTGGCAAAACAACTTCGAAAACCTAAATGGAATATTTAAAAAAAAAAATTTATTAATAATAATAAAATGCGGTAGTGGTGGTGGTGATGGTGACAGTGGCATGTAAACAACCTTAGGCATTCTTTCCAATCTCATTCACTATGGTAGAAATTTTGTATATAATAGATAATTAATAAACTGTAGGTAAGTAATTCATTAACCTAAGGGTGCTATGGCAGCATGAACCATTTCAGTAGCTATTTCAATATTTTTCTTTTTAGAAAACAAAAATAAAAAAAAAATAAAAAAAATGCTTAATTCTCTATTACGATGTGCCCTTGTGATTAAAAATATTAAAAATTTAGTATAAAGAAAAAAAAGGGAAGAAAAATTTTTGTATTAACAAATTGTCAGATATATATTCGAACTAAAACTGTGAACCGATTAATTTAAAAAAAAAAACCCCGTTGCAAAGAACAAAAGCAGCGCAAAATGGTTTTTTTTTCAATTTATAATTTTTTAAATGTTATCTTCACAATTGTTGAATTTATTTTGATTTTCAGTTTAATTTAATGAAAGATAAGAAGTGCGTTCGGGTTTTTTAAAAAAAATTTTTTTTTTATTGTCCTCTTGGGAATTTTATTAATGTATATAAAATTTTGTAAATAATTTAATGAATGTGTGAATGTGTGAGAACTTGTTTCTTTATATTTTCTGTTTTTCGATCCGGCCTTTTCAAGTGCAACTTTTTAAAAAAAAAATTTTATTAATTTTTCTTTCTAAATTCATTTTTTAAAATTAGATTTAAAATATCTAAATTTTATATGTTTAATAAATAAAAATAATATTTTCGGTTTAAGATGCACATGCGTGACTAAATAGGATCGAATTTATAATAATTTATTTTTAATACGTCGTTTTAATGTAGTTTAATTTTTTTTTGAAATCTAGGAAAAGAGAATTTTTTTCTCAAATTTGAGATTAATTTAATAATACCACAAGCGATTTATAAGCGTCGTTTTATAATATACTGTTTAAGAATAAATATTTGAGTTAAAGAAATTTTTTTTATGAAATTTTTTTTTTGAGAAAACATCTGTTAGTTATAAGCGTTAATATTATTAAAAATTCTCTTCTTTTCTTCTACAAAAGCACATTGAACTGGCATCTGGCAATGCTAAATTGTGGGTATTGTTCGCTGATATTCTAGACTCGCTTTCTCGGCTGTGGGTTGGTGCTGGGACTGGAAAATTTATATAAAAAAAAAAAAAAAAAAAAAAAAAACACGCATACACGTTACTAATGAAATGGTTGCTGCATGTACACATATTTTAAGAAAACCACTAACCGAAGATTTGGCCAATTTTCTCCAGGAGGGATTACCTACGTATCTGGTCAACCCCATAGTCTCAGCAAAGCAAATGGTCATGGGAAAGTATGTGTACACTGCAAGCGTCGTGGAGTTCTCACATCACGTGGAAAACTAAGGCAGACTCGCTTCAAATGTTGGCCCTGCAATGCCTGTTTATGTCGATGGCCATGTTTCGCAGAATTCCATGTAATGCGAGCCATTCCTCATATTCCTCCTCCATAGCACCAACCTGCTGATTAATTTTATCGCCACGCGAATTTTTTTCATCATGAACTAAATACCCACAAAAAAAAAAACGCTAATTCAAGTAGCAAAAATGTACAATCTTCTCAAATAAGATGCATCATTCTTTTTTTTTTTCAAGAATCCTTGAATCAGTTTATAAATTAAAATCAGTGATATTTAGATAAATTTATAATTAATTTATTTAAAATTCAGAAAAATAGATTAAAATTAGAAAAAAATTTCATTTTTTTAGAATTACAAATTTATTTTAAATTAATTTTTTTTCCTTCTAATTTTAATTAAAATATTAATTAAATAAATTATTTCACTGATTTAAATTTAAAACTCATTGTGATGTATCTTGCCATGTATTATACTCTGTATTTAAAATTATAATTATCGTTAATATTAATTATTATTATAATTGTTTTCGACAAATTAGATAAATTTATAATTCCGCAAATAATAAGCAGGGAAAATTTTTCATTCAATTTCAATCTAATTTTTAAAATTATTTTTCAAATAAATTTTTAAATTCAGTTAAATTATTTTAATTTTGTAAATTTTTTTTATGATTTTTACCAATTTTAGAAAAAAAAAAAATTATTTTTATTAGTAATTAATAAAATTTTTATAATAAATGTAAATTCGATGAAATTGATTGAAAAAATTGTTTCTTTGACTTTAGAAATTAAGTTTAGTCAGAGATTTAGAATTTTTATATAAGACTCGAACTGGTGTCGAAAGAAAATCGTGGTACAATATTATTCCAGTATCGCTGGATATTTTTATATAATGACTGATAGAACGATTTTTCTTGTATTTAAAAATAATTTAGTTGTGAATTAGGTGACGAAATTAAAAAAAAAACATTTAAATGAAACATCAGTTGAGAATATGAACAAAATTCGAAACTGTCAATGATGAAAATGCTCAAGTTTGTATTTTAAATGACGTGCAATTTTAGATTCTATTACACTAGGAAATTAGAAATTTTTTTCGTATCCGCTACTCAATTATAATTTCCATAGACTGAATTTAAATTAAGGTTTTTTTTTTCTTTTTAGAAAAATAATTGTCTGTTTTCAAGATTATTTCGTCACTCATATTTGTTGTTAATTAATAATTTAATTATTCTCCGTTTCATTCAATATTCGATTGTTCTATATTTGAGTTTCTCAATTTGTTTTTTTTTTTTTATCATAAGAGAAAAAGAAATGATTATTGAGATTTCATAATACTCAAGGTAGCATGTAAGAATTATATCTTAATTTCAGTTGTAATAAAACTAATCGTACCTGATAACAGACTTTTATAGAATCAGATTTAATCCGTTTTAAGGCTCGAGTAGAAAATAATATTTAGAATAATTTTCTAAATATAATTAGGATTCATCATGAATATTGTGTAATTAAATAAGCGTTCATCTCATTGACAAAATATTAAAATTGAATTTTAAATTGAAAGTCTTTTTAATATTTTAAAGTTGTAAACTTTTTTTTTTACAAGTTTTTAATGGGATTAACGCTTATAAGCTTAATGGGTCTGCTGTGTCCTCTTTCGTGTTGTCAGGCTTTTATTTTACAGCTTTTGCTTTTTTTCCGTCATAATCAATAATTAAAGACAAAGAAAATAGAAAAAAAAATTTTGAAAATAGTCTTTATTTATAGAGAAAGCAGAAGACGATGCAAATATTGACATTGGCTTATCGAATGACGATGATTTTGGACAAACGTCTAATGCAGAATTATTGTTTCGCTGTCGAATTTGTTGGAAAGGTTTTAAACATCCAATGTCACTGACTCTACATAAAAATTTACATAACGGTCAAACGATATGTCCCATTTGTCAACGAGTATTTAGTCGAAGTTACGATATGAAAATTCATTTACAACGCATTCACAAGTACACAATCAGTGTTAATGCGAAATTTAATTTTCGAAAATAATAATAATAATAACAAAAGAGGATTCAGATGTTTGACTCAAGAAAAGAATTTTTCTTTAAAGAAAATTTCTTTAATATTTAAAAGAATTAAAACTATCTAAATATTTCGTTTTTAAATAAAAAATTGTTAGGAAAAAAAAATGTTTCGTGCCATAATATTATGTAAAATTGGTGTAAAGTCGTAAATTAATTTTTTTTTAATGAATTTTCCAATTTTTTTTTTTTTTTTGAAAATAGACTTTAAAAAATCAGTTTTCAAATTTTAATTACATGTGTAGAAATTTTATTAATTAATTAGAAGTAAATTAATTACTACGATTTTTTTGAAGCCTTAAAACTAATATTTTCGAAATTCGATATTTTATAGAACGAGGAGAAGTATTATTTAAATCGAAAGACGCTAAATTTGTTAATTAGTCGTCGTTTTAGTTTTAGATTTAAAATGAACTTCTTAAGGAAATTGTGATACTGAAATTATGTACGTGCATTCCTTTTAAATATTATTCAAAAGATATTTATATATATTTATATATATATAAATATATGTTTTGCCCCTGCCAGCGAATTTAATTATTGCGTTTAAAATTGTAGAATAATTATATTTCATTGAAAAATTATTTTTTATATAAATAATAATTTTTATACATTGGAATATTTTATTTTACAATATTATAAAAAAATTGACATCTCAATTATGAACTCAGTGCCTTAAATTTCTAATAACTGAAAATGTGCACTTAAAATTATTTTCTAAATTCTTGTATAATAATCATTTGAGACTGTTGATTTTTAATAATGCGATTTATTTTTAATTAATAAAAAATAATTACTTTGTAATTAATAGACGTACTTAAGTTTTAAAATTGTAAGATACTAAGAAACGTTGGTAAATTATTTTGTAAATTTTTAAAACTATTATTTCTATTATATATTATATATAATTTTGTTTAAACAATTGTATTGTTTTAGAAAAAAAAGACGATATATACGCATGTGCATCGTACAATCAGTAGCAATTATTTTTTTTTAATGAAAAAAAAATGTTTTTTTAAATTTTTTATTATTCTTCTCGGAGTGTGATTTAGAGTGACTGAAGGGAAAGGGAAAATATATACTTTTTGCAAGCTTTTTAATTTTTTAATCAAAAAAATATCTCTTAGGGAATTCTTTATTTTTTGGCTTTTTTGGGATTTACTCACATTTGGTTAACAGCTTTTCTTTTATTTAAAACTTTTTTGCACAATATTTATATCCCGTCTGAAATGATCACGCTCTTTGAATTTTTCATTTGCTGAGAAAAAAAAAAAAAAAAAAATTTTTCCTCAGCTTTATTAATCAATAACTTTTTTTTTTAATAATCAATTGAAGAAAAAAAAAATGAAAAGAATTTTTCTCTAATGGTTCAAGTGCATAAAAGTGACCCTTAATCTACTTCCCTAAAATCCCAACTGATCAGTTATTACTAGAAAATTGAACAGTTGCTTAATATATAGAAACAAAATTGCTCGGTTATGAATTTATATAAAAAAAAAAAAAAAAAAAAAAATGGTTAATTGCCATACAACTGAAAATGAATTTGGAAAATGGGAAAACACTTTGGATTGTGTGCGCAGACTCACAGTGCGTACAACCCATTGGGAATCAGCTCGTCGTGAGACCATTGCAAACTACCTACGAGATTAGAAGACGATCACGTCCTCGGCATGATGAAAATGGAAGGTGGATCTGTGATACATGTGGGAAAACCTATAGTCGTGGAGATTCCCTCGCCCATCATCGCAGTATACACAGAGGAGATACTGTCTGTCCAATTTGCCACGCAGTCTTCACCCGCAAGTACACCATGAGATGTCATATGGTTAATGTTCATGGCATCAAGTAAATCAGAGGATTGAAAAAAAACAGTGCCATTTCTTTTTTTTTTATTCTATAAGAAACCACAACACACACAAATCAGTAATTCTGATAGCAAAAATCTGAAAACTATTTTTATCTTGGATTTAGATATTTAATTTTTATATTCTTTAATTTTTTTAATTATCCCTCAATTGAATTTGAATTCTGATTAAAATTAAAAAAAAAATTTTCTAATTAAAAAAAAATAGGTCCAGTTTTTTTTTTTTTTTGAAAATGCCACAATTTCTTGCCCAATTTTTTTTTTTTAAATCCGAGATAATAATATGGAATTTTAACACACAAAAAAAGCCGTTTTAATTTGAAAAAGCAAATTGAAAGCTGAAAATCATTGCATTTAATATGTTTTATATAAAACAATATTTGTTATTCTATGTATATATTATTTCGAAAAATAAGTTATAAAAGTCCTTATTATAATTGTTGATTATAAGAAGAAAAAAAAAATGTTCTATAAAATTAGCAGTTGAAGTTTTTATATAAATATTTCGCTCAAATTGAAAATAAGAGAAATTACTGGGAAAAAAAAAATGAAAATCTTTTAAATATTAAAAAATCATTATGAAAAATAATTTTTATCAATAACATCGTTTACTGAAATAAAATATATATAATATTAAATTATTAAGACTTTTTTTGTATTGCTTCTTTTTTAAATATTGAATTTTTATTATATAAAAAACAATTTTTATTGTATAAAGTATATTTGTAATTGATGATATTGACAATTTTGTTGTAACAAGTAAAATTATAGTTAGCTATTTTTTTTTTTGTACTTATTGGGCAATTTTAATTTTTTGATTTCGAAATTTTTAAGAAAATAAATTCTTTTGTGATATTGAAATAATGTTTAAATGTTTGCAAAATACTGCTAATTTTGTTATAGTGTTTTTAACAATTGAAGGCAGTTATTAATCTAGTCATAATAGATTTTATCGAAAATCTCGTTTTTTTTTTTTTTTTTTTAATTAATTTCGATTAAAAATGATAATCGATGAGAATTCTCTGAATTGTAATTATAAGAAATGTTACAATTAAGGTCGTTGTATAACTTTCCACATAGGCAGTAAGTTTTTTTTTTGCATTTTTGAGTTAATTTATATTTTTTTTGAGCTATTTCATCATTTTTCAATAGAATTTTAGTTTTTATTCATTTAAAAATTGTTAAAAATTCTTTTTCAAAATTTAACTCTTTTTTTTTTAATCAGAATTTAGTTTTTATATTCAATTTTGTCAACTGAATCGATGTTTAAATAATAATCAAAGATTGTTGATTCAGTAATAATCTAATAATTTTTATCAGTCCGTAAAATTTAGAATTGATCTCTTCGAAGATACGATGTAAAAAAAAAAAAAAAAAAAAAAAAATTTTGAAAAAAAAAATATTACTGTAATAATTATTGCACTGTATCATACGTATTAAATTTAAGAATTTAAAAGAACTACGAAACCCTTATGTTAGTAGGAGTAAATTAAAATTAAAATACATTTATGGAGAAATATTGAGGAATTTATTCCAAACCAATTCCAATTTTTAATTCCTAATTTTTATTACAAAAAGAAGCTGGTTTTTAATTAAATTTTAGAATGAGAAAAAAGGGGGATATTTTTTTTTTTGTCAAATGTTTTCTTTGTTCGGTGCGATTGTGAATGACTGTGTGTGTGTTTTAGAGTTTGCAAATTAACATATTCTCGTGAACGAAATTAATTGTTATTCATAAATTGAAAATCAACGCTTTGAGATGAAAAAAAAAAAAATGCCAAGGTATGTCACTGTCACAAACGGATTCCTACCAATTTATATTAAGAACTTTCCACTGGGAAAGAAATATTATTTAATATATTTTTTTTGGAAAAAAAAGAAATTAATTGTACGCATGAATTTTGCAATGTTCAGTTTTTTATTTGCAGCACTAGGTCAAAAAAATTTGAACAGTTTTTTTTTTTTTATATTTTAAAATTAAGTTAGCGTTATTTTGTCGTAGTTGCCCTTTTATGTTCTACTGTAATATTTTATGTGTATATTTTTACTTCTTTTAAAAATTGTAATTTTTTTTTTAATTTTGTAATGTATTTTTTGTATTCTGTAGTAATTGATCAAAATTAATTTTTTCTATTATAAAAATACGAAAATTCAAGTAAAATTACTTCACCGTTTAGTGTGTTGAAAAAAAAATTTTTTGCACAGTAATTTTTTTTTTTTAAAATATTTCGCTTTTATTATATTTATTTTTTTGTTCAACAAAGCATGTTTTTTTCGTAAAAATCAAAATTTGTATTTTAAAAAATATATATTTAAAAAGTAGGTTTTTAATACCAGTTTTAATTGTCTGTTCAATTTAATTTTATTTTCAAAATATAAATTTTTAAATTAAATAATTAAAATTGGTGAAATTAAAATGAACATGACAAATAATTCTGGTTTGTGATAAAAAAAAAAAAGAAGAAAAAAAAATAGGAACGCGTGTGATTGAATGTTGTTGAAAAGGAGGGTTAATTTAAAAAAAAAAAGAGAGAGAGAGAGAGATTTGAACAAGATTTTATCAGAGTGGATTCATCATCGATTATTGGAGCATATGAAGCAAAAAAAATTTTTTTTTTTTTGATTTATTTGATTTAGATTGTCGTACAGTGGCCATCGAACAACCATCTCACTCTTGCAAACTCTGCGGTAAATCATTTTGGAATCGAGACTCAATGTACAAGCATATGAATATGCATAAGGGCACGACCCAGTGTCCCGTTTGCCACAAAGTACTGAGCCGCACAACTCACATGAAGCGACATTTAAAAAATCGTCACGGCTGGTTGGGATTTGGATCATTGGCAGACGCGGCACGAATCACAAATCCCCTCTCGATTTCAACGAGAATTGGACATCAAAATACAAATGCAAATACAAATACAACAAATGCAAATGCAAATATTGAATCGAGTTCATCAACATTTACGACAATTCGAATTCGTGAGAGTAGCGTTGAAAGAATCACTTCTAGTCCTATTCCTTAGTGTGAAAAAAAAAAAAAAAAAAAAAGATGAGAAACAATCCAAATTTATTGGATTATATTATTTTGATTGACGCCTGTCTTAAATTTCACTACCTAGTCATTTCTACACTAGTGTGATTTTTATTTATTATCACACTCTCTAACACGAGCACCATATTCTACCTCCATGGATCCTATATAACACCTTTACAAGAAAAAAAAAAAATCCTTTTCCTATTCCTCCTTCTCTTTTTTTTTTACCATTTTCTTCTCTTCAATGCTGTCATTTTTTTTTTTATTTTCGAAAATAAAAATTTCATTTATTAAAAACAGCATTGTTGAAAGAAATATTTTTTTTTACTGAGAATTCATTTTTTTTTCAAACCAAAGATATAAAATGAAAAAATTACTTTATCTAGTCAAATGGATTTCAAAGTACTTAAATAGACTAAGGAGGAATGTGCATTTTTTGTAATAACACGAGTCAAATAAGAAAGATTAATCTTAAATCATGCATGGTAGATAATTCAATTATTATGATATATCTATTGGTTTAGACTATAAACGACTAGTCGTAAAAATTGCCAAAAGTTTATACGCATAAATGAAAAAAAAAAAAAAAAATTGAAAGGGCTAAAAATTGTGCGTATAACGAAAAGAAAAAGTCCAAAGAAATATAGAATATTAATTTCTCGACATTGGAAAAAAAAAATCCTATGTCTTTCCAAAGAATACAAAAAAAAAAATCTTTAATAAACTTTTTAAAATAGGCAAAATAATTACATTTATATATATAAAAAAAAAAAAATTATAATTGATTTCTCACGAAATCAAACTTCATAGATTATGTAGACAATTTTAGTTTTTATTTAAATTAGTTTTATGTGAAAAAAAATTTAATTTCTGAAAATTTTACATTTTCTAAGAGAAATGTAACTTAAAACCAAATTTTAAGGACTTAAACCAAATTTAAGAAAAATGTATACATTTAAGAAAAAAAAAAAAAAAAAATGTGAAGTACATTAAGGAAAAGAAAAATTAATTTAAGTTTTCTTTTAGTGAATATTGCTCGTTATTTACGTTTTACATACTCAAAGAGTAGTTAATTAAAATCTAATTGCAATAACAACCCAGTTTTATTTCAAATTATTTTTTGTTATCTTTTTTTTTCTTTTTTAGTTTATTGACCTTTTTTTTTAGTGCTTAATATGTTTAGTTTTTAGTCATCGAAAGTGGCATTCGTTCTTTGCTTTTACTGATGCTTATATATTTATTATAATACTTATTAGATCTAAATATATACAAAAAAAATTATTATATACAAAAAATTATATATATATAGGTAATGTAACATATGTGTAAAGAACATTGCCACAAAAATTTAGTGCAATTATTATATAAGAATGATGAAAACGAAAAAAAAAAAATCGTTAATTCGATTTATTTGTGAATGTTAAAAGCTGTATCGAACTTACCAAAGTGTTTGTGAATTATTATTTAAGTGTGCTTACTAATCACTCCAAAAAAAAAAAAAGACTGATGTACAATGACCCTGAAATGATTAACAAAATAATTTTTCCTAAATAGTTCAAAAAAAAATTCATTTCTGAGCAAATTAAAAACATTTAATTTTTGTATATCGTCATTGTACCTCGGATTAGATTATAATATAGTTTTTAATTAAAAGCTTGCCATACTTTTGTGTAATTTCGTTTTTAGAATTATATAAGTTGTGTACTTTTGTTCCTTTTCATCCACAAAAAAAAAAATAATTTAATTGTAGATGCGATAAGATTTTTTTTTTTTAGTTATTATTATTCTTTTTATGATTATTATTTAAAAAAAAAAAAATATTTTATTTTGCGATTTTAACAAATATTATCCCTGTTATAATAAGTAAATGTAAAATATATTTATATGAATTGACTAAAAAGCGACGTTTAGGAACGAATGTGCACATTCCTCAAAAAAAAAAAAATCTACGTTACATTTTTTTTTTTTAAGTACAAGATTGCCAATTATTATTTTTAATTAAAAAAAAAAAAAAATAAACTATACCTTTAGTGGATTATTTATTGGAGAGAAATGGAAATTATTATACAATAATATATTATCAAGTAATAAAAATTTACGTTTTGGCTTATACACAGGCAAAATATGTAAGTGAAGATATGTGTGAATAAAGTTGCAAAATGTGAATGAAGCACAAATTTTTTTCTCCATTTACAGCTTCTTTTTTTTTTTGCGTTACATTTTTTTTTTTTTTTATTCGATTCATTTGCATTAATTTTGGAAAAAAAATTTCCAAAGAAAATTATTTTTTTTGAAATGCATTTAAAGAATTATTTTTTGGTTTTTTATTTATGTCAATGGATCGAAGATTTTCTTTCTTTGCGAAAAAAAATTTTGGGGTTTGTAATTTACTTTATTAACTGTAAATTAAATTTTTCAAAAATTGCTAACATTCTGCTTGTGGTACACCGAATAAAGAAAATGTTGATGGTTAGAGGGCGTAAAGCTTTTTCTTTTCGGAGCTTTTGAAGAATAACCCATTCTAAGAGTCAGCGTTAGGATACGAATTTTTTTTTATTATATATTAGAAATATTCTTCAAAAGAGCCAATTTTGGTATCTGAACTTTTAGCAAGAAGAATTTAAAAAAAAAATGTCTAATATTTATTTCTTAAATTACATTAAATTATTGTAAAAAATTTCTTTCCTGAAAGAATTTACTTTTTAAATTTGTGTTTAGAGATCTAAAACTAAAAATGATTGTCAAACACAATTAAGCAACAATTTTTTTTTCTTTTCAATAGTAATAAAATTACTTTTATGACAAAACAAAAAATTGCAAAATCGATAAATATTACCGAAATAAAAAATTTTTTTCAATAAATTGAAAAAATAGAATATTGCAAAACTTCAAAAATCAAATATTGGCAAAAAGAAATAAAAATAGAAAAGGTGTAACTGAGGAGATAAAACCGAAACATTAAAAAAAATAGAAAAATTGTAACAAAATTTTTTTTTTTTAGACCAAGTATGCTTACTTCTGTTTGAAAAAAAGATTTAGAACTCTAATTGAAGTTTAGTATTATAATTATAATAGATTTATAATGAAAAAAAAAAAAAATCAATAATTATGAGGAATCGGGGTCACGAAACTGTTGATGTGTTGCAGGGGGGGTGGGACGGAAACGGAAGCATGTTGGCGATACAACTGGTCAAGTGGTGATGCAGGGTCCAGGGCGTTTTTCGTGCAGTCTCTGCGGAAGTGTTTACAAACATCTTGCTTCGCTGACCCAGCACTTGGAAGTGCATCGAAATCAGACAACCTGCATCCTTTGTCACACCACTCTCAGTCGTAGAACCGACCTCCGTCGACATATGCGATTGAAACATAATATGCAATGGCAAAAAACCATTCAGAAGCGACAAAAATCCTAGTCTGCAATTCTATTTGAAGCTCTGTAAGGATTCAAACTCCTAATTAATTATTTTACATTTGCACCAAATAATTTTCCAAAAAAAAAAAAAAAGAAATCACTTCTCTACATTTCCAGGCTTTCTATTTGGAAATATTGCAATATTATTATTTCAAATTGAAATTAAAAACTAATAATGATTTTATATTAATTTCATTAATTGGCGTTAATAATTTTAAATTGCAAAAAAAAAAAAAAAAAAAATACTCAATACAATAAATTTTGACAAGATTTTGGGATAAAGGACATTATTAAGGATACGATAATATTTTTTTGATAAAAATTGTTTCATAAAAATAAATTTAGTTTGGCAAAAAAAATTAATATATGTACTATTTATTTTTAAATATTAAATTTATTTATTGAAAATAGAATGTTAATTTAGAAATTATAATTTCTAAAATAAAATGTATCCTCAATATTTGTTTTTCCGAATCTTAAATCATTTATTGAAATTAAAAAAAGAAAAAGGGATCTGAATTGGTAAATTAGAATTTAGATTTTTATGTTTCACCTCGCACAAATATTTTTCCCAAGCCAAGTAATTCTATAAATTGAAATGGATTGAATAATTGATTTAAAAAAAAACGATCAGTTTTTTAAAACAAAAAATTAGTTTCATTTAGAAAATTAATTGAAGAAAAAAATCTTCACTTAGTGTAAAATTCTGTAAATTTTTAGTTCAATTTTTGAAATCCATTTAAAGGTGAATTATTTGACTAACGATTTCTAGTATCTCAGCTCTGAAAAGCGCCCGCGATTCCTCATAAGATTGATAAAAAAAAAAAAAATAGAGCTTGAAGCGCCTGTTAGAAAATAAGAAAGAAAAATATTAAATTTTGTGTGAAATGAAGTTAAATTAGATAAAACTATATCAGGGTCATAACTGTCGACTTAATTACATAAAAAAATGTAAGAGCGGCAAATTTTTTTGTGAATTTTACGAAAAATAATAGAATTTCATTTTGATTACAATCAACATTTTGTTTATATGATTTAAAAATATTTTTAATCCTCTATAAAAAGAAAATTGACAATGAGTGGTAAAACATTTCAATATTGTAAAAAATGTTATCATTACTCTGAAAAAAAAAATCATTAAACAAAAATTAAATACTACTTCTAAGAGTTAAATAATAAGTTAATTATTTATTCCCTCTCTTAGATCTTTCTCAAAATAAATTGTCATATATTGTAATCGAATTGATCTTTCAAATTTGTGTGTCAGTATTTGTAAGGGGCTTGAAGAATGTTTTATGCAAGTCAGCTTCCAAATTTTTTTTTCTTTTTTTTTTTAATTTGTCTCTAGAAGTTGAATATGTCATAAAGTTTATATTGCAATTAATCTTAGCTGTTAAAAGAAAAAATCGTGTAACCGAATATATTAAAAAAAAAAGTTTTTTTGTTTCATAGATATGAACGCTTTAGAAAATTCTTGTCGAATTATTAGAAATTAAGAGAAAGAGATACTTGTATGATAATGAAAAAATAAAACAGGCGTGAAATTACAAGTTCTTACTTTGTTACTTTTTATATTTTTTAATTAACTGAATTTTTTTATTCAACTTTTTAAACTAAGAGAGAGAAATAAATTTCAGCTTGTGATGGAGATCGGTTTACAGTTTTCAGTTCTCAGTAAAAAAAAAAAATGTAGAAAATAATTTTATCACTGAGTTGTGAAAAATAAATTTGATATTATAGATGATTCAACAGGTCAGAATTATGATTCAACGAATTTATGGTGCAAATTATGCAAAGTTTCTTTTACAACTCAAGCGGCTCTTCTTCGTCACATCACTTCAAAACATGAAACAACACAAAATACTTCGGCCTATTGTTCCATTTGTAATCGATTGTTTAAAACAAAATGGAGTCTAGCTACACACAATAGCAAGTATCACAGATTTTAGCAAATTTACATGTTCTTTCTTTTTACTCACTATCAATAAAATCTGTTCTTTTTAATAAAAAATGAAGTTAATTTTTTTTCCATCGAGTAAATTCAATTTTTTGATTATTCAATTGGGAAAATTAGAATGTGACTGGTAAAAGTGAATAAATTATTTTTGTTTTCATTAATTTAAAAAATTTCAAAACGTAATTAAAATTTTAAAGAATCAGATAAGATTCAATTTATTTAAGTAACATCATGAAAATACTCAATTTGTTATACTTAATTTAAGATTAGCTAAGCATATAAGAAAAAAAAAAATGTTTACAAAGAAAAACGGAAAATCGTTCGAAAATTACGAGCATTGATATTAAATTAAATTAAATATACGTCGAGAACGGACAAATTTGTGGAGTCGTTTATATATAAATACAGATTTATTACCTAGCAGACGTGTTGTATTAATTGTTATAATAAACGTGTCCTATAATTCGTCTCTCCATTTGAATAATTCACGCATTCTCAATCATAACCGAGGAATGTCATATTTACAAGCCTCCTCGTAATGCTAAAACTAAATGCAAAACGGAGCCACCTTGTACTTTGTAATCTTGGGCAGTCTTTTCATCATTCCTGAAAAAAAAAATTAAATTCCATTTTTATTTAAAATAATAATATTGATTTTACTAATTAAACTAGATAAATAAATTTACATCTGTTTCCCAGAGAATATTAATCTTTGTTGTTGCGGAGGAATCCCCTCTTTTTCTTCAACTCTTTCTTTTATTCTCTCAACTTTATCAGTAGGTTCAATGTCGATTTCAATCTGAAACAATTTTGTTTATATTTTATTTAAGATCAAAGTCCTGACTTTTGAAAATATTTCAACATTTTTTTTTTTAGGTTATATTTTAAACTAGATATTTACTATAAAAAAAAAATCCTATACATTAAAAAAAGGAATAATTACATTCTTTAATCAATAGCAATAATTTGAATTGATAAATATTTCCAATGATAAACAAATCAAAATGTCAAAATTAATTTCGTAATGTTATAAACAAAAATGTTTTTTCCCCCCTAATCAATTTAGACAATTAAACACTCATTTATCTAATTTTCCTCTAAATTTATAAAAAAAGTAGATAAATAATATTATTGCCGGTTAAGTTTATAGTTACCTCTTTTCCGGTGAGAGTCTGGAAAAGAAAGAAATAATTAGTCTATCGATTTAATTTTTACATTTACTAATGTCTAAAAATTTATTTGTCTTACCTTAACTTTAATCAACATTTTGGAATAATTTGATTTAATCTATTTTCACTAAAAAAAGGGAAGAAAACTATGAAAAATTAAGATGGCTAGAAAGTGAAATGCAAATTTTAGGTTAGGTTTATTTCAAACGAATAGAGAGGGAGTAAAAATGTGTCCACCAATTAAATTGTAGTTTGTTGGACAATATTATCATCAATTGATAACAATTTTTTTTCCGAGATGGAGCCACTGTCATTTTCCCATGTATGACTAATAGTCTATTTTCACAGTGCTACAAACCTATAAATTTAAAATTATATAATTATATTCTTATTTTGTTAATTATTATTGTGTATTTTATTATTTTCCGATTATTTATAACTAGTTGAAGAAAAATCTAGTGTTAATTATTAATTTAATTAGGAAAATACCAAAGAGAAAATAATCATTTTAATTTTAAGTTATTGGTCATACTGAGAGTTTTCGCTCAGTTTTCAGTCACGCAATGGCTGCCAAAAGAATTAGATTGTTTCAATATTTTTCATCTTAATAAACAAAAGTGAATCCTTTTTCATTTAAAATACAGTGAAATCTTTAAAGTTTTCAATACAATAGAAAGCACTCTTTTTATTTCAATGAAAATATTTCGTTAATTAAGATCAATTATTGTGAAATGACACTATCATTTTTTGTGACAGAACAACCTAACCTAGTTCTATCAAACGTATCATCTATTTTGGGAAATTCCAATAAATCAAGAATTATTTCAAAGAAATATTATTCGTACAATTATTTTGTTTAAGTTTTTCACATTGGGAAAAAAAAAGTGGTTTAGTGATTTAATAACAATATTTTTGTGAATGTAATTAATGTGACACTTTGTATCTTTCTTTAACACTTGTGCGATTCCATTGTTAAATTTTTGCTTGATTTGGAAACTAATTAAACATTCAAAATCACGATAATGCATGAATCGACAAGTGGACACAGCACGTGACAAGTGTCATTGGAAAATCCCGCGAAAATTTTTGCATCGCAAAAGGCATTGTGTTTACCAACAAACAGATACAGTTTATAACCCCATTTCAATAATTTTCTTTTGGTGAAACGATAAGAGAAAGTTGATCGCATCATTTTTTTTTTGTTTCATTTGAATATGTATAATTTCTGATTTGAAAAGTAAGAAAAGAGAAATATTCGATAAATTTTAAAATAACTGTTTTTTTTTTTTTGTTTGTAAATACGCATTATAATGTCAATGGATATTGTCGAAGATGGATTTATAGAGCATCCACGATCTATAATTCATGTGGATATGGATTGCTATTATGCCCAAGTGGAAATGATTCAACATCCTGAGCATAAAGATAAACCACTTGGAGTTCAACAGAAAAATTTAGTTGTAACAAGTAATTATCTTGCTCGACAATTTGGTATAAAAAAATGTATGTCAATACAAGAGGCACTTTCACTTTGTCCAGGATTAATTTTAATAAAAGGCGAGGATTTGACAAGGTATCGTCAAATATCGACGAAAATTTTTGAAATTTTACAACGATATACTCCATTTGTCGAGAGATTGGGACTCGATGAATACTTTATTGATGTGACATTGCTTATTGAAAAAAATAATTATCCACGAGAATCTGATTTATTGGGAAATGAAAATTTTTTCGGTGAACCAGATGAAGAATGTCCTTGTGGATGCCATGTGAGATTATTAGCTGCCTCAAGAATAATCACTGATATTAGACTGAAGATATTCAAAGAACTTGGACTTACATGCAGTGCTGGAATTGCCCATAATAAATTATTAGCAAAACTTGGAGGAAGCATTAATAAACCAAATGGACAGACTTTAATTTATCCATTTGCTGCTTCTTCTTTACTCACTTCAATGGGACCTGTTTCAAAAATTCCCGGTGTTGGACAAAAAATGACAGAACTTTTACAGGTAAATAGCAATTTTTTTTCCTTTAATTATAAAAATTGAATTTTTTTAAATAAACAATTTTTCAGATGAACAACATTACAACAATTGAGGACTTGAGGAAAATTCAATTGGATAAATTGGAATTAAAAATTGGCAAAGATATGGCGAGAAAATTAAAAGACTGGGCCGAGGGAATTGATGATTCAGCGGTGAAGCCATCGAGTAAACCACAATCAATTGGCCTTGAGGATGGTGTGAAAAATATTTCACTTGTCGATGAAGTTGAATCACGACTTGGTGCATTATTACGAAGATTAACTGAACTTGCAACTGAGGACGGTAGAATTCCCGTGGCAATGAAATTAACAGTACGTAAACACGATATGAATAAACCAAATTCGGGAAAAAGAGAAACACGACAGTGTGCATTACCACAACATATTTTACCATTAACAAAAAATGGCGTCTACGATCATACAAAAATGCTTGCACTTTTAATGAAACTCTTTCATCGTGCAGTTGATGTTACAAAACCATTTCATTTAACACTCCTTGGTGTGGCGTTTACAAAATTTCAAGAACGTTCCTCAGGACGAAGTAGCATCACGTCATTTCTTAGAAAACAAGTCGCCGTACAATCCGTCCTTGATATTAGTTCAGATGAGGGAATTCTCGATACAAAAGTTGGTTCGCCAATGAGTACAAATCAAGACAGTAATGATGCTTCCGATTGTTCACTTCCAAATTTGGAAAATAGTTTACTATCAATTAGTTCTGATTCAATTAACAGTTCAAAACTTGCAATTGACAATGACGAGGATTTGCCAAGTGAAGCGGAACCATCGCCAAAAAAAACAAAACTCGAAGTTTGGCTAAGGGAATCACATCGAGAATCGCCAAGCAATGAAATGGCAAGTTTACGTCTTGGTCCATCATCATCGATCTCAAGTACGCCGTCCAGAAAGGAATCTGTTGTTTTTCAATCCTTGCCACTCAATCTCCAAAGAGAAATGAGCCATTGGCCTGTGGCCAACAAAACAAAACCGAACAATATATATAAACAATTTATAACTAATAAGTGACAGTGTTATGTAAATACTTGGCACTTCTTTTATATATTTTTAAATAAAATTTGTATAAAACCAGGTGACAGTACTGTGTTAAAGAGTTAAAAAAGAAATGCAACAGAATATAAATGATATTTTCGTCAAAAATTTTTACTATTTATTGACCCTTATTTAAAAAAAAATTACTTTTCAATAAATTTTTCAAAAAAAAACTAATAGATTTTTTTTTAAATTTAAAAAGGACAATGTTAAAATAGTGAAAATATCAAATTGATATTTATCTACACATATCAATTTTTATTTATCTCTGACAAATATTAATTACTTTTTTATATCACAACTTTATTACAAAAAAATAAAATTTACGAAATTATTGCATGCTTCAGACAGCTTACAATGTAGAAAAATTTCTACCCTATATAAAACGTTTCAACGTAGATACAGGTGATAAGACACTAGCACGCCTCTAAGAAATTTGGATTAATTTTTTTTTTTTAAATTAATATATAAATCCAAACAAAAGTCTGCTATTTACAATTTTTCTTTTTAACTTAATTTTTCAAGTAAATGTAGAAAAAAAAGTAAAACTAACGTGGATGTTAAAAAAAAACCTCATATTTATAAATAAATTGGTATTAAAAAATTTTTTTTACCATGAAATAATCACAAATCAGCTAACTGAAAAAATAGAAATTAAAAAACAAAAAAATTAACAATTGAAAAATGATAATGGCTCACCAAAAAGAAAAAAAAAATCTATTTCGATGCCTGATCGTTATTATTATTTGCCGAGATGAGTGAATCAAGAATCGCATTCTTACTTTCCAATTCCAATGGATCAGTGGAGAAATTTTCAGAATCTGTAGCAAAATCTTGTGATGTATTTTCATTCATAAAAACATCATCAAAATCCAATAATGTTGATGGATTATACGCCATAAGTTCTCCTCTATTTCCATTATTTGTGTCTAAAAATGAAAAAAAATAATTTTTTTCAAAATATAACTAAAAAGAAAAAATTCTAGAAAATTTAAAAACTTTATTCTTACTATTGAGTTCATCTTCCTTATCACGATTACCATTTGGATTTAAATCAGGATTCATGGGAATTCCATATGACATTGGATCTTCATTTCCAAATAACTGGAAAAAAAATAGAATTCATTCAAATTTAAACAAAAATTTCAATTAAATAAGATTAAAAATTACGTACGCCGAGTAAAGTATTAGCATCAATACTGTAACCTTCCCCTCTTAAAATGTCACGTAAATTGTCAAGTTCACTCTGCACATTATCCAAGTGATCATCAACTTGTTGCCTAAATTAAAAAAATAAATTTACAATTTTTAAAAAATAATTCTCACGATTTACGATAAATTAAAGATTAATTGAAAATGTTAATTTGTTAGAAAAATTTTTTAAATTTAATAAAAGTGCCTTTAAAAAAAAAAAAACCTTAAAAGGAGGGTAATAAAATATAAAAACTTTAAATTAAATAATTTCTTAATTTGAAAATTTTTAAATTCCCTTAATATCACGTATTTTTAAAAAAAGAATCAAATGGTCCATCAAAGGAAAATTATCCAGGCTCACAAATGGATTTTTAATCACATGAACTGATTACACTTACTGTGATGAACCTAACCTGCACACTCCATCAGCTTCAGGTGGATTAATGCAACTAAGTGATAAATTATTTGATGATGTACTTGTACTCGCTCCATTTTGTGAATTATTTTTTTCTAATTCCAAATTGTCATTGTTGGTAAAAATTAATTCATCCCTTTCTCTTGATGATAATTCATTAAAATTTGTATTATTAACAGAATCAGAATTATTTGTATTCTTACTGTTATTATTCATGACACTATTGAGAACATTATTTTCATCATTTTTAATGTTATCTTCATTTAACATTTCTGGAATAATTAAAATATCGTCAAGTTGCATATCAGGATCATGAACAATATGCACATCGGCTGCTTCTAAATCGCCAATATCATCACATAATTCTTGATTTAATTCAACATCTTGATCGGAATTAAGATTTGCTGCCATCGCTGCAAGTTTTGAACTTCGAACTGTCGCGAGTGGTATTGATTTTGATTTTTTATCAAAAGCTGATTGTTCTTCTATCTCCTCAGGAATTTCTAACATTATTGTTTCTTCCCTAGAAAAAAAAGAGGGAAATAATTTTTTTAAAAATGAATTTCCTTTCCTGTCAGTTTTTAATATGGATTTTTAATATTTACTAAAGAAATACCAAAACAAATTCAATTAATTTTTTTCAAATCATTCTCTTAAAAATAAAAATTCAAGGGATATTGGTGTGATACATAACATGCAATTATGAAAAGCAAGATTGAAATTAATAAAAGCAAAAGCTTGAGAAAATTTATCGACTAAAAATAAAAAGAAAGTAATATTTTAATAATTGTAACAATATTCATGCAGAAACTTTTTTTTTCTAAACATTAAAAAAAAACTAAATGGAACAAATTTTAAAACACCACAACCGAACGATTGTATAAATGAATTAATAACCTGGATTTTTCTCCCTTCTTCATCGATGGTATAAGAATTTTGATAGGCACGTTGTTTTTCCTCCTGGTAATGTTTAAATGGAATTATAAAATAATTACCAAAAAAAAAAAAAAAATAATTAATTTTTATTTATTAAACACTCTTTTGTTTACTCAAACTGCTTTTGCTTTTAAAAAATATTTAACGAAGCATGCATTTCAGGAAAATTCAATTGAAATATTAAAAAAAAAAAAAAGGGAAAAAAATGAAAATGTGAACATGTTAAAAAGTAAAACTTACTTCTTTTTGCCTTTAGATTTGTTCGTTTTTGAATTTCCTTTCTCTTGAGAAATGTATTGAATATTTTCAGGCATGTCAACTGATTCCACCAAATTTAAAACTTCAGAGGCGTCTTCATCGATAATTGGTTGATTTGAGTACTGGGGACTTTGAATTGTTGGATCAAGTTGATTTTCTAATATTCTGAAAAAGGAAAATTCAATTAAAATTTTAAAAAAATTAATTAAAAATATATATATATAATATACTAACTCATCGACTATATATTGTGAGTCTAAATCAGGTTCCGAAGCATCTAGCTCGTGAATAACTGGTCCAGCCGGTGATGCTTGAGCCTGAAATAAAGAATCTGAATATATTTATCAATTTAAATAAATCAAAATTAAATATATAATTTTATTTTCAAATTTTAATAAAAACAAATACAAATTAAGATATATAATATTACATAAATTAATTACCCTATTAATTTTACTTTGTTTGCTTCGCTGTCTATTAGAATCATCAATCATAAGTGGATACCGCCTTTTAACGGAAAGACCACCACTTCTGGATGGTTGTACTAATGTCACCAAAAAATGTATTAATTTATTAACAATTTGTTGTTGTTTCAAATGTTTTTGTCGCAAAACTGCAAGTTCCCTCCAAAGAGCCTCATTCTCTCGTTTCATTGCTCCAAGTTTTGAATCTAAATGTTCTTGACGTCCTCTCATGCTTCTTACTTCCGTCAACATTTTATTCATTAATTCTGGTTTTATTGGTGTTTGCGAGGCATCTTGAATTTTTGCTGTTGCAATCTAAATTCATTTTTTTTCAATTAATTTAAAAATAATTTGAAAATTTTAAATAAAAATTTTTTTTGAAAAGTTCTTATTTTTTAAAATTATTCAATAAAATAAATTTACTTTTCTCTTAATGTGATCTAACAAATAAGGATGTCCTTTACAGAAATATTGATGGGCAAATTCCATTTCATCTCGGTCACATTTCAAGCCACCTAATTCAACTGAAACTTTCTTATGAAATCCATCTGAAAATGTAAGTAAATTAATTTCGTATATTTTCGAATTTAAATTAACATATTGAATTAACATTAAAATTTTATTCAATTTACTTACACATATTTAATTGCCTCACGAAACTGGCCATATTATTATGCTTATAATAGTGAGGAAGAAGTTCTCTAGCAAATTGTGCTTGATTCCTAATAAAAAAACTTCTTCCATTCTGAAGAAAAAGTAAAAAAAAAATAGTTTAGCAAAATTTAACATAAATCCAAAAATTTGTTTAGAAATCATTTTTTATTTTTCGAAACTTCCTTTTTTTAGGTATTTTGCATTTATTCTGAACATTGAACTCTTCATTTATATATTGACGTCACGTGATGAATACTTTAATATAATTTTGTTCTCTTTTTATAAAGAATTTCGAATTTAGGCAAATTATAAATTTTATACAATTTATAAATTTGAAATAAGATAATAATAATAATTCATGATAAGGAAATTTTTTTTTAAATTTGTAAAATAGAAATTTAATTTACAAAATTATATAAAATTCATGAATATATCAAATTTTATTCTACTTAATTTAATTTAAAGAAGAATTTTATGAACTTGTTTATTCTCAAAGTGGTCGTATTTTTTTTATAGTTTAAATGCGGGATTGAAGAGCGAGTGTAGGTCCAGAATAACAAAAAAAACATTTTTAAAATACATTTTCTAAGTATAAAACAATAAAATAATTTTGATAAATATGCGGGTCATGTGGAAAATATTTTAATGCGGGAAGTTTTTCACTTTTTCTAAAGAAAAAAAAAATTATTTATTTTTTAAACAAATTCTTTTTCGGTAAATAATATTATTTCAAAGAAATTTGCTTTTTTTTTTTTAAATTTTTAAATAAAATCAATTTTCATCTATAATTTCTAAATAAAAATCATTTTATTTATTGTCAATGTTATTTCAACTTTTTTGTGATTATAAATTATTCAATAGAATCGATTCATGGTGTTACAATTTACCTGTTCATTGATTATCATATAACTGTATAAAATAAACACAATTATTGATATAACAGTTTCACAGAATATTATAAAACGGAAAATCTCTTATAAAACTCATCAACAATATAATAATAACTAAAAATGTACAATAGACAATTTTAATTTTTTTAACAATTCTAATTTCAGAAAGAAAAATTAATTTTTATTCTTGCATAATTATTGAAATTTTGACATGACGTAAAAAAGTGTCAATAAATTGATCAATTAATAATTTAAGAATTCTAAATTTTTAATTTATTACTATTGTAAGTATGGCATTGCTTACAAATCGTTCCCCCCACGTTTGTTTTTGTATAATATTTAAAAACTGTAAGAATGTTTAGAACCCAACATGAAATTGTGCATTTAAAAAAAAATACGTTTATTATGTAAATATTTGATTGGCTATTTTTTTTTTTGTATATTAAAGGAATTGAAAAACAAAACTATTTTTATTAGTGAACAAGATATATATATATAGTATAATAAACGAAAATAAATGGATGTTACTCACTGGAGCCCAACAAATAAGGTCGTCGGTTTCGGGATCCTCGACCAGCTTCCATAGTTTCCCAAGAAAAGCTGGTACACTTGTACCAAGTTCTGTCATAGTGTGCATATCTTCAACGTTTAAAATTTCGTTTATTTCTTCATTTGCCTCCGTCATTTATTATATTATAATTTTGATAAAACGATGAACTGCGATTTACCATTTCCACTAAAATCAACAATGGCTGACATACTAATACAGTGCTACCAACATTGTTCACATAAAAAAATTAAGTATTACCAATAGAAGAAAAACAATTTGTAAATTTAAAAAAGTTAATTACTTTTATTTATTATTACATTTTGTTCTCTCGGAAATATTAAAAAAAAGACTAGAAAAACAATTCTATTATAAAAATTGTTTATTATTTAAAACAATTGTATTTTTTCTCTAACAGGTTTTGGAAATACTTATTAATTTTCAAAATTGGAAAATACCAGTAGTGACATCTGTATTTTTTTTTAAATTATAGAAGCTAGGAAATATAATTTAAAATCAATTATTTAATTTATTATTATATATTTAATAATTTTTAATTATTACTGAGTAATATTATAAAATATAATATTGAAATATAAATATTATAAGTAATGTGAAAATTAATTGTTTATATTGGAATATGGTCGGACATGTTTATTTTTCACAGCTGTCAAACAAATTTGGAGGGAATGCAAGATTGTTTTCATTAACCTCAAAAAAAAGACGCAAAATTTCGAACAAGCTATTATATTATTTTTCTCATTCTAAAAAAGTTTAAATTATATATATTCTATTAAAGAAGAAATTAATCATGTCGAATGATGTTTTTACAAAAGAAGTGCAAACAATGTTTTCATTGTATGGATTAACTATAACAAAGTGAGTAAATTTTTTAATTTTGTATTACAAATTTAAAGTAGTTTTAAATTTAAGTAATTTTAATTTAAATGTCAATTTTTATTTATATTTTATAATAAAAAGTAATTTTGTTATTAGAAGTTTAAGTGGCTATGTTGCGAGACAAATAACAAGAGGTATACCAGAAGGTGAAAGAGATCAATTTCTCACTGGAATTATAGAACAATTATTAACACAAACATTAAAAACACCAAATGTTCAAAAAGAACACATTATCCTTGCATTTAATGATTATGTACGACCAACAACTTCATTAAAAGATACGGAAACAATTTTTAATGTCATAAATTCCTTTGACATTCCTAAAGTACAATACGATATTGGTAGAAGAAAATTTGTATTAAAAAAAATTGACAATGATTTATATCCAGACGCTGAATACAAATCACTTATATTTAAAGATCGACTTGATTTACTTTATCATCGAACATTAAGGCACGATCATTTTAAAAATTCTAAATTCGGTGAATCCAATGATGGAAAATTAGAATTGGTACCAATTGAAAATTTACTTAGTGAATCAAAAACTGACAATGTTTATGTAATTGGCCTTTTATCGCAACTCACCGAGGGTGAATTTTATTTAGAGGACAATTATGGAAACGTTAAATTGGATCTTAGAAATGCAATATCCTTTTTATATTTATAATTAATTTGTTAAAAAAATGATTTGAACATTTTATTTTCCTTAACTCCGATTTTACGATTTTCAGACAAGTCTCATTATGGAAGGTTCAATTGTAATTGCAAGCGGTAATTATTCGGATAATATATTTAAAGTGGAAAAAATTGGATTTCCACCGTCGGAGCCATCGGAAAATTCTCGAATATCATTTGGTACTGTCAATACATTTGGTGGTTTACATCCAACATCATTAAAATCATCTGAAAAATTACATGAACATGAAATTCTTTACAAGGATATGTTTATTTTTTTATCTGATTTTTGGATCGATGATATTCGTGTTCTTGAGAAATTTAAAGAGATATTAAATGGTTTCTCTGATTCACCACCAATTGCAATAATATTATTTGGCAATTTTCTCAGTTTTCCACCAAATGCAACGAGTGTACAAAAATTGAAAGATGGTTTTAAAAATCTCGCCGATATAATAACACAGCATCATGGTATAATGGAAATGACAAATTTTGTATTAGTTCCCGGTCCATTTGATCTTGGTGCACCGAAAATTTTGCCAAGAGCACCATTACCAAAATCAATTGTCGCCGATTTTATTAAACGTATATCTCATGTACATCTTGCTACAAATCCATGTAGAATTCAATATTGTACTAAGGAAATTGTCATTTTTAGAGAAGATATTTTAACAAAACTTTGTAGAAATACTCTCAAATTTCTTGACACTGATAATGTTTATGAACACGTAAGTTTTTTTTTCTCTCTTTATTAATTAAATTAGATTTAGATTAAATAAAAAAAATGAATTTTTATTTTCAGTACGCAAAATCGATAATTAGTCAATCACATTTGGTTCCATTGAATCTTCAAGCGATGCCAATTTATTGGAAATACGATCATGCACTACAACTTTTTCCCACTCCAGATCTTATTGTTGTCGCTGATTCATTTCCCGCGTACAAAACAGAATTTTCACAATGTCATGTTATAAATCCAAGTTCATTTTTGAGATCCGGTTTCAGTTTTCAAACTTATGAGCCCGCTGAACTTTTTGAAAAACAAATTACAGACTGTCAAATTGATTAGAAAAAAAAATCGACGTAAGTAAATTTTTAAATGAGTTTTTTAAAAACTTAATTTTTTTTGGGGAGGGGAAATTAAAGAACAAGAAAGGACAAATGTAAATTATGTACAGCATTTATTTTTCACTTTTTTTTTTTGGATATAATAAACTCTTTTTTTTTGACAATGAAAAGTCGTCTTCTCCGTTAATATTTTACAATATTACGATAATTAGAATTAAAATTTTTTAAAAATGTGAGCAAAAATAAATTATTCCCTTAGTGATTTGTGTCTAATAATTAAAAAAAAAAATAAAAAAAAAAAAAAACGAACTGATTCAATTTCAATTCAATTACGAGATCTTAATTTTAAGTAATGAGTCGTAAATAATTCGCTTTATTATAACATATAGGCTCGCTTTTAATTTTTTCTTGTCACATAAATATTTTCGGGACATAAAATTCTATTTAAAAGCAAGACAGGTACAAATGTGATTTCAAATATTTTAATTTAACATTCCGTCAAAAATTCTGTTTCACATAACATTTTTTTTTTTTTCTCCCTACAAAATGCAAGTTTACTCACAAATAAAATACTGGACATGTGTTATTTCGTAAGTTTTAAAAGTACCTGCCATTTTATATACTAGATATCGAATTTTAAAAATATTTTTTAAAATACATATAGTAAAATGACATTTTACTTAATTGTAATAATAATAATAAGAATAATAATAATAATAATGCCTCGACAGTTAGATAAAAATTCTAACATACAAAATTTCCATTAAAAACAAGTAGGAAAAGCTCTGCAAAATCTCTTATTCTATTTACTTTATTTATTTTTTTTTTTTTTACTTTGGAACAATGTGATTAATTTAACGCCTAAAATTATTTTTTTTTAAAAAATGAGTTTATTTAACGCTCACTGAGCATTCTTAATTATTATTAAAAAAAAAAAAAAAAAGTAAATGAGAAATTGATTCATAACTATTTTAAAACATCACAGAACGCAATTTCAGTTGCTGTTGAGAATAACAGACTATGGATCTGGGGAGGGGAAACATGGAAGAAACTGACAAAATTGTAAATAATTTACAATTTACAAAAAAATATTGTAATAATGAAACTAATAAAAGATCCAAATTTTGTTAGGCAAAATATGGAAGATTTTTTGATGAAAAAAAAAAAAAATGATTAATTATATCAATAACTATTGCACATTAATAGGAAAGTGTATCAATTCCTTTTTGCCATTTTAAAAAAGCTATTAGTGATATCTCTTCTGATTTGATAACTATAATTGAATGCGTCTGAAAATACACCTAAATTTACGTTACTTTTCACACACTCGTAAAAAAAAAATTTGACAATATCTAAAAACCGATTACCATTGTCAATAAAATCGTATCATTTTTTTTTTTTAAATCTTCAAAAGAATTTTAATATTCCAGTTTCAATCCTCTTGAATTAAATTCAGTTTAAAAACACGGGAAACGTTTTGTATTACTTACACCGCTCGCCATTATATATAATTATATACAAAAGTTAAGAAGATTTTCGTTTAACATTCGCTTTCAGTCAATGAACAATGTGATTTTATTGTTGTCTTTTCGTCTCACGAATTTCCAGGAAACATAACACCTTCCTCTGTAATAATAAATGATTTCATTACAAAAAAAAAGGAATTCAATTTTGTGATAATTGTTCCAAAAAAAAGAATTAATAAATTTTCATTAAATTAAATCAAAATTTCACTAATTCCTTACGTTGTCTCTTATACGTTTGTAGAGCTCTCTTCCTTTCTTCTGTATCAAAATACCATAACGTAATAGCGTATCTTGTTTTATAAGCAGGTTGTACTTCATGTGGATTTCTTTTGTCTGACCAAAAGAATAAAATTCTATCGAAATAAGGACCAATATTTGCAACGTGTTCTTTCCAACATGATGGGAATATCCTTAATAATCCTCCGTATTTCTGAAAATATGAATTTTAATATTAAAAACAATTGTCAAATAAATAATAGACTTAAAATATAAATAAAAAGAAACAAAAAAGAAAATTTAAATTAATTTTTTAAATTCTTGTTTTTGTTGTTAAATTATAATTGTTGGATTATTTATTTAAATTTTTTTTTTGTAAATTTACCATCATTTTTGATAAGGAAGTTCATTCATAAAAAAAAAAAAATTATTTACTCACTCTAACGTCCCAATCTCTGTTGAGGTAATAAATAGCCGTGATGCACCTTCCATCTCCATTTGGATTATCTACATGTTTAACGTAATGTGTACCGTGACCAGGATAACACGCCACCATTGCCTGAAAATGAAAATAAATATTTATTTAAATTCAAATAGTAAACAAAAAATTATACTTTATTTTAAAATTACTTATTTTCAATTTTTTTTTTTTACGAAAATGAAAAAACATAAAATACGGTTTTAAAAGTGATTCTAACTTCAAGAATAGTTATCATAAATTACTTGACACACTCGTCGTAATTACTTCAAAATAAGGAAAAATTTCTTATTCCTAGAAGTTTCATAATTGAAGTAATAAATCTGTTAAACAGATGATTTTTCAAAAAAATTTTCCAATCCACAGAAAATATTGAAAATCATTAATTTGTTTTGAAAATTTAGTATTTTTTTTATTCAGTTTGAGGAACTTAAATAAATTTTTACAATCTCTAAATGATTTTTATTCTTTTTTCTAAATTCAATAAATTTTTGTTTTAGTTCATAGAAAAATCACGAGTTTAAATATAATCCATTTGAGAATGAACAACGGTCGTTAAAATCTTAAAGAAAAAGAACAGAAGATTTTAAAACAATTATTAATAGTAATTATTAAAATATTATAGAACAATTCTCTAAATGTATTTTCCAAAAGGATGAATCGATAATAAATTAAAAGATTTAATTTTTTTTTTTCAATGAGTCGAACATTTTAAACTAACACAGTTTGCCTTGAAATCGATTATCATTCACTTTTCTCGGAAATCGTACAAGAAACAGGATTGCCTAAACCGGTTGCCTTTGTACAAAAAAAAAAAAAAAAAAAAAAAAAATGAGAAACAAATAGTGGAACAGAACGAACATTTCACTTACACAATTATTTTTGTTTCCTTTTTTTAATGATAAATTAAATCTAACATAGTTTATTTTATCCCAAGTGATTTTTTTTTAATGAAAAAATATTAAAATATAATTAGGAGAAAATGTAAACTAATTAGGGCAGATTTTATAAAATATCTGATTACATAAATTGTGTCATACTTTTCACTTTACTCTGACTACGTTCAAATCATCACGTATCACGTGGATTACACAAAAATTTAACAATGACTTTCTCTTGAAATAAATTTGGAAACAAAAAAAAAAAAAAAAAAAAAAAAAAAAAATGTAAAATAAAACTAATTAACGATCTGCATTTCAAAAGACAGTTAATAGCTAAAAATTAATTTATAGTTATTCTAAAAATAATTGTACTTTTTCTATTTATTCATTAAATTCATTAAAAATTCATTACGAGAAGAAATTTAAAGTAAATACAAAATTACAATTGATAAAAAATCATGATACTGTATAACAAATTATATAAATATAATAAGAAAAAACTTGAATTTTTAAATGCATAATTAAAAATTAATATTTTATTAAAAAATTATTTTTTTTGTACAATTAATTTTAGATAATGTACTATTTTTTACTATTTTTACTATTTTTTTTTTATAAAGTACTATTTTTTTATTAAACATTTTTTAAAGGTGTAATTAATTTTTTTTTTAAATTTGTAATTCTTCAACACTAAAAATTCAAGAAAATTCAAAGAAAAAATAAATAATAATTGAAATTGATTTCTATAGTATATATCTTTTCAACGTACAGAAATAGACGCAAGACATTCTAAATATAAAAAAGGACATTGCGTTTAACTTAATTTATAAAGTAAAAATAATTTTTTAAAAGTAAACAAAAAAAAAAGTGCCTACGTGACTAAAGAGGGAACATAATGTGATTCATACATTTATCAGTGAACCTGCTGTTGATAATAAGCAAATAATACATCTGTGAACCACATTGTATTATTTACGATTCTATGAATATGTATTAAATTTGTTTAACAATAAAGTAGCCGCTATTACTTAAACCAATTTATGTTGATATATATATATATTTATAACGACCAGCAAATTCTCTAGACAAGAACAATTATGAAAATTATTGAATAAATGTTTAATAAAATAATGAGAAATAACACACATTATAAAATGTATTCAAATGTCTCTTTAAATATACACAATAATAATCAAAAAAAAAAAAATAAACATTAACGAATTTTTGTATTGGGAGAAAATTAAATAATTATATGTAAAAAATAATATTTAAATCAGATAATGACGTTAAAGATGAAAAATTTGTGTTTTTAAATATAAAATCTCTCATAAATTCTTGAATAAATATAAAAACATTCGCGATTGTGAATAGTTGCAAATTTACTTGCTAACGTTAAAAAACAAATCAAATAAATTAAATTTTAAAATCCATAAGAATTTAAAATCAATTATTATTAATAGCTTTAATTAATTATAGTTGAAAATTGCAAAGACTAAAATTTATCTGACATTTGAAAAATTGCGAAAATATTCTCAAAATAATCTTGATAATAAGAGGGAAAAAAAAAATGCAAAGTACTCTTATGTGTTTCAATGATAAGTGATGATTCTGCATTCTTATGTGAATCAGATAAGATAAGCTGTGTGTACAGCAAAAATGAGCAGGTACATGGCATGAATATATAGATCGTTTTACTGACCACTTCCTTGTTTCATATTCATCAAACAATGTAGAACAATGATATAATAAGAAATTTGTTTACGAAAAACGACACGATATAATATGAAACAAAATCTAAATTTAGTAAATATATATTTACTAACAGGAAAAATTATCAGCTAGAATTTTTTTTTTATTAAAAAAATTTGCTAGAAAAAATTCATTCACTCGACATTGACATTCTCTTCTGAAACCTTGACCCATTGATCGTGAAATCGAAAGTGGTCCATGTCACACGTATTATTTTGCAAACACGAGAATATTATTCTCTGATAATTGTGTTTGCATAATAAAAACAGTCTAGAGGTAGGTCAGATAAGAAAAAATACTTTAGGAATCATTTCACCTTTAAGAAGGTTAAAATATTTTAAACGACACAAAAATTGATAGTGTTGAGAATTCAAATTCGGGTTATTCATGTAGTTTCGATTGCTTAATGTGGGTGTTGCTCTAGGATGAAAATATCAGAAACAATTGGGAGAGAAGGGGAGGGAGAAAGGGAATGTGGCCTACGTGACCAACAGCATTAACGTTTTTTGAAAGCGCATGCCTAATTTTAACATTCTTTCCCCACCTCTTCTTCTGTATTTAATAACTCGTTACTGAAAATTTCGCATACATTTCCCAATTTTAAAAATACTACGTCCTTGGACTTGAATAGTTTAAAAATAATCTACAAAACAAAAATATTCTTCACCATCATATATTAAATTGATATTTAATTATTTTAAATTTCAATGAAAAAAAATAATGAAATTACCTTCGTTCTTTGGTTTATTGTGTAGTCCCCTAATTTTCCATTGTTAATCATTTTATTTGCTCTCATTATAATGGCATCAACTTGAGAAATAAGTAAACCTATATTGGGACAATTTTCCTCCTTTCCATCTAACCATGCAATTTGATCGCTGCGAATTGTTCTTGAATCATTTGCACCAGCTCTATTTGATACTAATTGTCCATCTTTAAATAAACCAGCACTATAAACATTCAATACTTCATTTAACACTGCTGCACCAATTTCATCTCCCATAAAACGATCCAATGCACATAAACCAAATAAATTCATATCCGTTATCACTCCTTTACAAACATCATCAAGTAATCCATTTTTAATTTTTTGATAAACTGTTGTATGAGATTCATTGTCTGTTGGTTGGGGAAAATTATTAACACCATTATATTCACAGGCATGCATGCCTGATTTGTTTTGTCCTTCCAATGTAGGATTTAAAGATTCTGCCCCCGCACCAAGAATTGTTGCTTCAGAACTTCCTTCGGATGTTATTGGCGACGTCCAGCCGTCCGCCTTATTTGTCGATTCTGTAAAAAAAAAAAATCGATTTCTCACATACGTATTTTTTTTTCCTAATTTAAGAATCAACTGAAATTGGCAAAAAAAAAATTCTAGTGTGAAATTCAATAAATTTCTGAATTTATTGACCATATTATTAAATAGTAATTTTTATTATTATTTTATTTTGAGATAATCAAATGAACTGACCCTTTATCTATTTGAAATTAATTAATATTTCAAACCAAATCTAAAAGTAAATGTAATGATAATTAAAATAAAAATTTAATTAATCACTGAATTTTGCTATTAAGCTACCTCATTAAGATTTAATTTCCTTTGTTTATTTTAATTGTTTTTTTTTCTGCTTCGCTAATTTTATCTATATTAATCAAAATTCTAAATAGTAAAAAATTGACAAAGAATTTAGTTTCTGACATCTGTAAAACAGAAAATTAATTCGTATCTATATTGCTAAATAGTATAATACTTAAAGTATTAAGAAAACAGACTCAATTAACCTTATCTGTTTTTCAATGAAAAGTAAAATTAATCAATACAGTTATATTTATGAAAATAATTTTTTTTTTTTAATATATATAGAATATTCAACATACCACGGAATCGATCAGCCGAAGGTCCAGGTTCTCTTGAGTCTTTAACAATATTTTTGAGGTTAGAATTAGTAAAGATTTTTTTCTCCGAAAATTCAGTTTCTTTATCACAATCGAGAACAATATTTGAAATAACTTTTTCAGTAGGTGTTGCAATTGTTTCAGTTATATTTTTTAAACAAAATAATTTATGATGTTTCCAATCCAATTTCTGATGTTCTTTTGAACAGTAAACAGCAATTTTACACCTTGAACATCTAAGCAATCTGTCAAATCGATTGCAAATAATACACTTATTCATACCAGGTTGGACAACTCCACTTGAACTATGTGTGCGACTGACTGCTGGAGTAGACAGTTTAGTCGCAGAGACTGTCGACATTTCACAACAGTTCAAAGTCACATAAGCTTCTTCTTTGCTTGTCGGTAAAGGTATATAATTTCAAACTTGAATTGAACTTCATACGGCGTGGTATTTCCCGAAAAAAAAATTAAATGTCAAAAACATTCGTTTTGAAATACAATGACGTTATTCGATTTGTATTTACAAAACACAGTTATCACACGTCACTCATTTAATTATTGTAATAACTTGGTTGGAAATTGTAACATTATCACAAGAAATCAAATGAAATACATTTGGCATCCCTTCCCATACGTCTTTTGCGTGAATTCGTCACTAGGGAGAGACACTTCATGATCACAATTTTTCAAGGTCATAATCTTTTACTAAAAAAAGATTTCCTTATATATTTCTCAGAAAATCAATAAAACATTCTTTTTTTTTTTTTTTAACAATAATTAATTAACTTAAAGGCAAAAAAAAAGTTCTTACCTTTGAGATTCTTGATTTTCTAACCTTAAAACGATTCGACATTTTGGAAATCGAATTCACTACACTTTTATTTACAGTAAACACAAAACAAAACAAACTATTTTTTTAAATGCTTAAAATCATTAAAACATTTGTAAATTTCGTAAAATAACATATTAACCTGACAACTGTTGACATTATGATTAAAACATTTTAATATGGTACTAGTTCATAGTTTGTTGGTTATAAAAAGTAGATGTCGCCTATTGGTATTTCCACGAGAAGAACAATTTTCATTGGCTACTTTGAAAAAATGTTCCACTAACGCATGCGCGATACAGTGATTAGGTTTTGGAAATACTCCTGAGAAAATTTCTATAGCGTCATCTACAGTTTAGTTTAAAAAATAGAATGTCTTGATCATTTTTTTAGAGCTTTTAATTTTACTAAACAAATAAAAGAAAATAAAATTTACTTACAAAAGGTACACTTTTTAATTTGATTTCATTTGAAAATTTTTTATTCCTGCCTTTTGTTTTACAGGTTATGTAAATATCAATAATTCCAGAGCAATTCGGTTTAATTTCGTCTATCGTCTCTATTCGGATCGGTAAGATAATTTGAATTTATATTATTTTAAAAAAACTAAAGAAAAAAAGATACCTTTTTATTTATATGTACATTTATTATAAAGTTCATAATTTTATTATAATATAAACTACACGTCTAACTTACAAAAAAAATTGAAAATACGGGTCATTTAAAAACAATTGAGAAAATAATTAGAAAGAAATCATTTAGTTAAAATTCACATATATAATATGTAAAAAAAAAAAACAATTGTGTATGCGCCAATAAAGAGGCACGTAAAAAGTGCTCAATTATAATTTTTATTTAAATTTGAAATTTATTTTTGTAAAAATTCTGTAGAATTAAATTAAATTGTTTTTTTTTTTTTCAATGACCCTTATATGTAATTTACAGAAAGCGATCGTTTCACGCCTGCGTAAATATTTTGAACCGCTGCTCAGAGATAATAGATTTCTTTCTGAGTTTATATTTTTTATTTATATATAATTATTTTTTAAAACATGAGAAAATTCTCTTTGTCTAATTTATTATTATAAATTTTTTTTTTTCACTCTAGTGTCTTAAATTCTAATTACTGTGTGTGTAAAATTTTATGAAGCAATATGAACCGAACGAAATATAAGACTTCGACGATAAATATTGTCGACAATATTTTGTTGAAAGTCTTAAAAATGATTTCTTAATATTAATGTGTTTATTTTTCAAAACTGGAACATTTTTTTTTTTCACTTAAATTTATTTATTGAAAGACATTGGCTTTCCAATATCCATTTCAGGCAGCATCATTTGCATATGGTTGTCAATAATTTGAAATAATTCTTGAGGCTGTGGTATCCTTCCGGTTTCAAGTTTAGACCAAACAGGAACGTCTGTAAATTTTTTTTTTCATTTTTAGAAACAAATTAGTAATTATAATAATAATAAATTTATTTAAAGAGAAATTTTTAATGATTGTTACCATTTAAATGAATTTCAAAGGCTCCGGAAGAAATCAGTTGACCCTCGATAGCATTACAGATAAAAAATAGTAAAATACTAGCATAAAGACGATTGTCAATGCACCATTGCCAAACAAAAGGTGCTGGCTGACCGATCCATTGAAATATATTAATTCCACTCAGAATTAAAAGTATGACTAGAATTTTTGCTATACCCTAAAATTTAAATCAAATATTTAAATTATTTAAATAATTCAACTTGTTCTAAATTAAAATATCTTTCAAAAAAAAAAAAAAAATTAAAATATTTAAAAATTGCTTACGAGAAAATGTGCCACAAACATATTATATCCTGGTGGTTTGTAATTTTCCCCATGTATTTGAAGTTCTGGATATTTTTGACTTAAAATACTAACATATTCCTCAAATACTTTTCTATATCCACACGAATAACTGAAAAAAAACAAAATCTCAAAAATTATATTCACAATTTCATAATTTAAATTTTACAATACAGTTTACAAAAGAAAATAAAATGTATATTAAATAAAAAAACATTAATATCCAATTCTTTAAGATACGATTTTTATCTGTCATTACACAATCATAAATGAAAGTTCAAAAAACAATTTTTTTTTTTTTTGAATTTAATTAATGAAAATGGTTTTAAATTACAAAAAATTAGTATATATACACAATATTTCTCAATTATTAAATTTCAATAAGAAACTGTTCTATAATATATCTAAAGAATTATAAATCAATTAACATAATCATCAGAATTGCTGATGCATGCAAACATAACCTCTAATTTCAAAACTTTTTTTTTTTCTCACAATTTCTTTTGATATTATTAAATAAACCAAATATCTTTTATAGTTAAAATAAAAATAAAATATAGTAAAATTGCTGAAATTAATTAATAATATATTTACCAGTAGAAAAAATTTAACGTAGGTGCCGATTTTGATCCAAATTTGGTTAAAGGTACATCTTCGTTAGCTTCGATTTTTGAATCAATAACACAAAGAAACACGAGAAAGAGGCAGAAAATTAATTTTAACGAAACCATTGTTGTATTTTACATTAAAATAATAATAATGAAGAATATTAAGTAATGTGAAAAAAAAAATGTTTGTTATATTTGAGAATATTTTGTTCCTTCTTCTGCAAACAAGTGTGATAAAAAGAACGCGGCTTTAAAGTGCCTTTTAAGAAAAAAAAAGAGATTTTATCACAGAAAAAAATGCTAAAATTTACAATTAACACTCATTTTCTAACACTATAATTCACAATTATATTAAACATTTATTTAATTTATAAAGATTAATTATTAACTGGCATATTATTATATGGTGTTCAGACATTTAATTTATAAGAAAGCGACCTCTATAGACTTTTTTCTATACTTGTCTTTCCATTAGTACGCATGTGTCACTTCCTTGTTTTTATTTTCTTTTTAAAAATAATTATCTCCTTAGATAAAAGAAATAAAAAATTATTAAGAAATATACGAAATCATATAATATACAAATTTTGTGTTGAATTTTTATTTTTTTTATCATAAAGTTATTTATTTTAAATTCATGTCAAATACGCGCGAGAATTTTGAACCAATAAGAGCGCTTATTGTCACACATGCGCAGTGTTTAGGATTTGGATCTTTGATTTTAAATAAAATATACATATAATAAAAAAAGGATTTCATCAAAGAAAAGTGTCGTTTTTGTTATAAATGACAGTTTAATATTTTAACAATGTTTTTCGCTAAGTTACGAATATTTATTCCCTCTACAATTACAGTTAGAAACGTGGGTATGTAAATGTTAAAAGTTGTAAACATAACCTCACTTTTTATAACATTTTTATTGTTTATTATAGATAATAAATAAAATTGTTACTATCATTAAATTATTATTGTTTTATTATTATTTTTTTTTTTATAATTTTTTGTATATATTTAATTTTTATCATCTATATTTATTTTTTAGCTACAGTTAAAAGATTTTATAAACAAGCAACAGTTTTATCGAATGGCAATAAATTTGAAATTGCTCTTGATCACAGAAAATTAAAAACTCCAAAGGGAAAAGTTTTTGAAGTTTCCAGTGAGCCATTGGCATTTGCAGTGGCCGTGGAATGGGAAAGTCAAAAAGAAATAATTAATCGAAGCTCAATGCATTTGGTGAGAAAATAATTAAAAATCTATATAGTATACATATTCTTATTTATTATTTACATTATATAGCAAAACAACAAATTACAATAATTTTTATTAACTTAATATAAACTACTTAAATAATTAAACTATTGCCGTTGCCCTTTTTTAGTATTTTTAATAAATTTGTTTTTCAAACTTAAAACAATTGAAATCTACTTTTTATATTATTCATATTTTTTTATAACTTAATTCATATATATATATAAATCTTATAACTTAATTTATATATATCTTATAATTTAATTTTTTTTTTGTTTATTCGAAACAAAAATTAGTCTATAAAAATTTACTCACTTTGGCTATTTTCTACGTATTTTAATTGTTTATTTTTTTTAAAACAAACTACAGACTTCTTTATGCAACACGGTTTTGGACAATCCTCACAATAATAAAAAAGAGGATATTGTATCGGGAATTGTTCAATACTTGGAAACGGACACAATTTTGTTTCAATCAAATGTAAGAAAATTTTATACTTTTATCACATTTCCTTTTTTTCTATTTAATTTCAAATTAATGAAGCTTTTTTAGGGGAAAAAAAAGTTTTAAAAATTTTCAATATATTAATTATATTTATTTATTTTTATATTAATTTTACTTTACGTTTATTTTATTTAATAGTAATATTAATTAGCTGTATTTATATAAATTTTTTTTTTACTATATTTTCAATTTCATTCTAATTTCTAATATGAAAACACTTGAATTCTAATTCTATAAATATTATTTTCAATAATTACGTAAATTCTTTTTTTTTTGATTTCACAAAATTATATTTAAATAAAGAGCTATATAAATTTTTATAGTTTTTTGTATCAATTAATTGTCTTAATATGTAGATAGAAAAAAAATGTTGGGTATTAAAAAGTAATTCCTTTTTACAGGATGAGGAGGAATTGTACAATTTGCAGAAAAATAGATGGGATCCTTTAATACAATGGTTTTGTGATCGATTTCAAGTTGATATTATTAAAACATGTAGTATAGAAGCTCCAAAAGTTACTTTAGATACAAAAGACGTTATAACAAAGCATTTACTCTCTTATAATTTTGAAGCAATTCACGGTAAAATTATTTTTTTTTTGTTATAAAAAAAAAATTGATTTTAAATCCTATAAGTAAATTTTCTTTTTTAAGATAAGAAAAGTTAATGACAATTTTCAGGTTTTAAGTATGGAATTGATACGATAAAATCTGTGATTCTTACATTAGCCGCTTCGGAAAATGTGATTGGGGTCGAAGAAGCCGTTGAACTTTCTCGATTAGAAGAGGAATATCAGGTATTAAATTTTTATTTTTTTTCTCTTTTATTTTGGAACAATAAATAATAAATTTTTGAAAATTTAGAAACAAAATTTCAGGAAAATATTTCTAATTGAAATACTATTAAGGAAAAATTGAATTTCTCAATTATTAAAATATGAAAGTAACAACGAATTATAAATTTTATTTAATATAAAAACAAATTTGCATTTATGGTTAAACTTTATAAATATTAATAATATAAAACAAAAAAATTGTGAATTTCTATTTTTAAATTTTGGAATTTAAAATTTTTTGGTAATTTCAGATAAGTCATTGGGGACGTGTGGAATGGTCGCACGAGCTTAATAAATACGATTTACAATCACGTTTGGCCGCCGCAATAATTTTCATTCATTTGAATTCAAATTCTAAAACTTCTCAACCAAAACTAGATGAAAGTAGAAAAATGGAATTATAAAGAAAGGTATAAAATCACTTACCAAATTTCTTCTTAGTTGATTTAAAATATTGGCTTTTTTTTCTTTTTTAATTTTGTACGTATTAAAATTGCTATTTATCGAGTTACTGACACTTTGGCGAAGTACAGTTCACTGAAGGTATCGAGCAATCGGGTCCTTCCCAGTCTTTCATACAGATGCAACTGAAAATTAAAAAGAATTTTGTTTTTTTTTCATTTTTTTTTTAAATTTCCTTTTGTTTTTACCTGTACGTTGGTCCGTGATTTAAGCAAACGGCACCGTTTTTACACGAATTGTGTGAACATTCAACACGATGACATTCGCCAACACCACGTCCAGTCGCGGGACTCGATTTAGTTATTGGGAAGACATTATCTTCTGTGCGTAATTCAATATCGTATATACAACCCGAAAATCCCGTATGAAGTGGCAAATCATGAGGAAGATTTTCAAAATTCTTCGATTTGTGTCCTCCTAATTAAAAAGATAAAAAAAAAAATAGAAAATAATTTTCAAAAAAAGAAAATCAATTTGAATTTTTTTTACAAAAAATCTCTCACCAACGTAAAGAATCGGTGAGACGTCTAATCTTGTTAGTGTGCCAGGTGTTTCACCAGTTATATTTCCAATACCTTCAATTGAAAGCCATGCTTCTCTTCCTTTTCTTCCAACTCGTAGATTATGAACTTTTTGACTTTTCATATTTAATGGTCTGTCGGTGAATATTCTTCGAATGCCTAAAGAAAATTAATATTTTCTTTTTTTTTAGAGTTTATTTTTGCAAAAAAAAAAAATATTTTACTTACCAGAACCTAAATCCCATGTTAACATTATATAACCGCGAACAAAAGTTACTGAAAAATGATCAGTTATCTCTGCTCTTGTTCCTGATTGTCCTAAATATAAAATGAGGGCAATTTGCTCAATAGTGTGAGGTAAAATATTGAATTTTAATTCCATTTCATTTCTAATAGCAGCAGGCACACCGTAAGCCATATAGGAAGATAAACTTGATGTAAATATTGAAAACGATGGTTGCAATATCGCAAAATCTAGAAATTAATTCATTATAAAATTTTCTTTTTCTTTTAATATTTTTCTTTTTTTAATCTTCTTTATTTCTTAAACGTAAAATATTAAAACAAAAATTTTTAATTAAAGTTAAAAAAAACAAAATTAAACTAAAATTATTTTTCAAAATTACCACTCATTACCTTCTTCGCAATAAAGTCCATGCATTCCAAGTGGGCAAATGCAAAGAAATGTTGTTCCTGGATATGTTATGCAAGTTGCGCCCAAATGACATGGATTATTGTCGCATGCTGATTTTTCACAAAAATCACCTGAATAACTATTTAAAAATGTTAATTTATATAATTAATTTTGATTAATTAATTAATTGATTTAAATCATTTTTTTTTCTTCTAATAAAATTTTTATAATTATTTATTATTACCCTAGTGGACATTTGCAACGAATTGTCCCGTTTGTTTCCTCACAGACACCAGAATTACTGCAAGGATTTGATAAACACAAAAATGATGTACATTCTTCCACTTGATATATTTCTATTGAATCTATAGCGAAATTCCTCTCAATTTCATTTATCTGAAAATGGATACAAATTTTATTATTTTAATTTTATTTTGAAATAAAAAAAAAAAAAAAAAATTGAAATTTACCCTCAGTGAACTCATACAGCCAATAAATCCTAATGCAATTTCCGGTAAATTATAAGTAAATGCAATTGGTATGCCACCTAAATGAAGTCTTGCATTTTGTGGAACAATTTCGTGTGATGGCAAAACTTGTTCTCCACTCATTGCCATTGTATCATTTAATAATAATGTCGCTGAACATTTATCCGTTTTTTCTTCAACTATATAATTAAATCTAATCGAAATAATATTTTGAAATTAATTACAAAATTAATTACAAAATTAAAAAAACAATTTACAATAAAAATTACATAAAAAATACTTTACTTTGAATTATCTAAAAAAAAAAGGGAAATTAATTTTCTTTTCTCTTCTTAATAGACAAAAATTCTCACCTCATTTCAATATTAACATTAAAACCACTATTTATCGGTGAATCAATTTCTCCAAAAAGCATTGTTTGAAGACCGCACGAAAATTGAAATTTCAATTGTCCCATTTCAACATATAATAAAATAAATCTTTCATCATCAAAATAGGAATGAATTATTATTCCACTTTTGGCTTTTGTTCTGATTGTCAATGAAATATGAAATGTATCATTTTTTTCAAATGGTACTTGTTGTCTTATATAAGATTTTCCATTAAATGCCGCATTTTTTATACTCGATGTCAATTTACAATTGTTTTCATAACTGCAGTCACACTGAAAGGACATTTTTTTTTATTCGAAAAAAAATAATAATCTTTTAAAAAAAAATTGTTTTTTAAACTAAAAAAAATGAAATACAAATTTTTTGAATTTACCTTTGTAAAATTAAATAAACAAAGACTTATATTGGCACACTGTTGAATATTACAGGCAAACAAATGTCCATCCGTTGATGGGAAAATACTTTGAACAGTTGTGAAACTTGGTTTTGAAAATGATTCCGTAATTAATGAATTGTTGATTATTGTCGAAAATTCACTTGTTAAAATATTCGATTCAGTGAATGGAGTAACTGACATTGTTGTTGTTGTTGTTAAAACAGATATTTTATCATCAATCGCAGTTGTTGACATTCCTTCATCAATGGAAGTCGTTTCTAATAAATTCTTCTGATCAGTCGTTAAAATTGAAAAATTGGAAGAAATCGTTGTTGTTGGCATTGTCTCAAATAAAGAATTTGTTGTTTCTTCAATAAAAATTGTATTTCCATTAAAACTTTTTCCATAAATTTCCGTTGTTGTTGTTTGTTGAGAAAAATTACCAAAAATATCTGTCTCCGTGATATTTTGTCTCGGTGTCACTTGATCTATGTCCATCTGAAAAAAAAATTTTTAAATAAAAATATTTCATAAAAAAAAAAAAATTTTTCATTTCAAAACTTACTGTGAAATTAAAATTTATTTTTGAAATATCAATGAGACTTTTTACTGTTGAAATTGGCTGGGAACTATCAGTAGTAGTAGTAAAATTGAAATCAGTAAAAATTGACGATGATGTAATAATATTTTCTTGTGTTAATGTTACACTTGTAATTGTTTCAATTGGATTAATTGTTGTTGCAGGTAATTTTGGATAATCAATTGTCGAAATATTGAAACCAATATATTTTGTACACATTTCACCGGCATATTGCACTGGACATGAACATGTAAATGAATTAATTCCATCGATACATGTTCCTCCATTTTCACATTTGGCAAATTTTGCTGCACAATCATCATATTTTAATTCACACAATACACCATGATAATCGGGAACACAATAACAAATTGGTTGAAAATCTTCAAATAGACAAATTGCATTATTTTTACATGGATTTGGATCGCAGAGAATTATTACTTTGTCACAGTCTTTGCCTGTAAAACCTGAAAGAAAATTTTTTTTTTAATTTATCTAAAAATATTTAGATAAAAATTTTAAATTAAAAAAACAAAAAATTTACCAAATAAACAAGCACAGGTGTAAGAAGCGGGAATATTTATACAAAGTCCTCCATTTTGACAAGGTGAACCAAGACATTCATTTATATCCTCTTCACAAAATGATCCCGTCCATCCTGTAAAGAATTTTCTATTTTTATCATTTATTTATAATAAATAAATAAATTCGCATTTTTTTTACCAATAAATTAAATTCCCTTACCTTCTGAACATCGACAAGAAAATGTCGATCCTGGACCTTCGACACATTCGCCGGAATTTTTGCAAATTGTATCATTACAGACGGAAACATCAATTTCACAAAATTCACCTGAAAAAAATTTGCAAAAAAAATTTTAAAATTAAAATAGAAATTTTTTTTCTCCAAATTTTAAAAAAAAATACCTGAATATCCTTCAGGACATTGGCACATTATTCCATTGTAATCTATACAAGTTCCATTGTTGAGACAAGGTTGATTTAAACATTCACTGTATTTTTGCTCACAATTAAAACCTGTTTAGAAGGTAATTATTTATATTAAAAATTAATTTAATTTTTTTTCTATTTCAGAAATTAGATAAAAATTTTTTTTGTTTACCAATGAAGCCTTCAGTACAAGAACAATTGTAAGCTGCGACAGCATCAATACATATGGCACCATTTAAACAAGGATTGGACCAACAGTCATCAAAATTAATTTCACAATTGAGTCCAGTGTAACCATCAATACAGTAACACGAGTACGAGCTATTTTTTTCAATAATTTTTAAATTCAATACATTAATTTTTAGAAAAATTAATTTTACATTAAAAAAAACATTAATTTTAATAGAATTAAGCCAAAAGACTTAATAAAAATTAGAATTACAAACTTTTTTTAAAAAAAATTTTTTTATTAATCATTTTGTTTACCTGTTGCTTTCATCTAAACAGATTCCATTCACACAAGGATGAGAACTACAATGAATCGATGACGATAATGTGATGACAAATGTGGTAAGTAGAATTAAAAAAATCATTTCTTTTCCCTTGACTATACATTTTGAAAATCTAATAAAAAAAACAATTCTTCAATTAACAATCGGAAATATTTATTAAAATTTATTTATTTATTATTTATTAAATTAAATTATTTTAATTAACGAAATTAATAATTATTTAAAAATAAAAATTAATAAATATTAGAAAAGAAATTAATTTTCTTAAAAGTTTAAAAAAAAAGACGAATTTTTTTTCTTAAGGACACAATTATAGGTTTTCTACCCCCTTTCTGTGATAACAACTTCCTTAGTTTAAGTTCAATGATCCCTTTAGTTAACTATATATATATATATATATTGTGTAACATGCATACAATTATGACGTCACAATGTTTTCGAAACGAAATGGTTCGGGCCGGCATAAAAATCTTATATGTAATTGTTGTGAAAATTAAATCGTCAAAAGAAAAAGTAGAAAATTTTTTAAATGAAAAGCTCAAAATTATTTTAATAAATTAATTAAATGAACTAAATTGAATTTACCTGAACATATTTTTTTTTATTGATCACTGGTTTTCATAAAAAAAAAAAAAAAATTGCCTATAAACTTAGTATTATAATGTTATACATTCAACAACTCAGCCAAATTGTTTCCGTGGTAACGTGTAAACAACAAAAAGGGTGTATAGAAAGAATTAAAATACGCTTGCGTCAACAATATAAGAAATTTTTCGATTGATTTGATAAATAAATAAATTAATTAATTAAATAAAATCACAATCACTTTTTTATTGCCCTATTTTTTTTTTTTGAAAATCTTCAACTTTTCGCTGTAGAAAAAAAAATCTTGGAAAAGATTAAATTTATTAATTTACATTTTTTTAAAACTATTTTTCTATTTTTTTAAAAAATATTTAAAAGTAATTTTTTTACTGTTTACATTTAAATTGTTATAAACTTGATTGTTCTCTGTTTTCGTGTGACAGAGGATGTTTCAAATGAATGCCAAAATTTCATACAATTCAATACAAAAAGATTAAAATCAATGTTCAGGTTCAATAATTAATCCATGAATTTTATTGTAAAAAATTCCTGTGAATTTATTTTTTAATATTTTTAATTAGATTTACAGACAAACTGCATTTATTTTTTTATAATTAATAATATATTTATAATTATTTCAATAATTAATTATTTTAATAGTTGAACAAAATTAGAAAACAAAAATTTATTATTGATTATTAGTTTTCGATAAATTGACATATTTTATCTAATTACTATTTTATTTTATAGTTTTTTAAATTATTTTTACAAATTTCGAGAGAAAAAAAATAGGTGTAAATTTTTTAAATTCAAATTTTCCCGGCAATAATTGATAATATGGTTCATAGTTTCTCCGCATGGGATTCCCGGTGTCAACTATCTCTCATATTGGTCAATTTCATATTTGCCCGGGGAACAGCAACCAATGAGCGTATTATTTGAATATACTGCGCGAAGCTATCTGCGTATTCGAATTTTTGATCATGTGACAAACGTCAAAAATGTCAAACAATGTAGTTTTTGATTTGTAAGTTCTACAATAATATAAATTTTGAGAAACTTTTGATCGAAGAAATTCTATTAAAGAATTTTTGCTTTCATTTTACTCTCTAGTCATATTATGGCATTAAATTAAAAACTATTAATACGATTAAAACTGATTGAATACAGTGAAGTTGCAAATAAAAAACTTAATTCTGAAGAATTTTGAGGTTATAACTCATTTAAAAGGATTTTACTGAATTAAATTATTATTCCATTTATTTTTCTACATGTGCGTTTTATTTATAATCAGTTAATTCATTCAGTGTTAAAATAATTCCAAGATTTGGTTGTAAAGTGACAAAAAACATTTTTTAATTATTTTCATTGTAAAATTGCAATATTTTACTATATATAGAGTTTTTTTAAGGCGAACAAAGTGGAAAATTATTCTATAAACATGTCGACAACAAATTGTCAACAAAAAGAATTTAAACTATCACGTGAGTAATAAGAATTTATTTTATAGAAAAACTTTTGAGGTTAGGAATTGTTTTTTTATTTGTTAATTTCATTTTTTTTAAACAATATACTAATTTAAGTCGAATTTCTTTTGGATTCTATTATTTTTTTGTTTTCTTTGTTAATTGTTTTTTTTATTACATACATATTGTTTTAATTTGTCAATTTTTTGAAATTCTTATTTGTTTCCAAATAGCGGATCACGAATTTATTGTGCCAATAAAAGGGATAAAAAATCCAAATGATATGATCGTTTGGCAAAAATCCGAGGCTTATTTTGTATGTATATAATTGTTAAACAAAATTTTTGAATTTTATATATTAAAAATTTTTTTTTTTTTTTTTAACAATATTTAACAATTTTACAGGAATATTTGGGTTTTATTCTCGCAATTAATGAATCTATTCAAGGAAAAAGTATTAATGCACAAACGGAAACATCATTAATCGTTGATAAAGTCATGAAAATGTTGAATAAATTCGATGATTGGATAACTGAGATTCCGCCAATTGATCAGCCTCAACGTTTTGGAAATCAAGCGTTTCGTACTTGGCACAGTAAAATACAAGAGGTAAATATTTTTAAATAAAATAAATTTATTATTATTTTTAAAGATAAACTAAATTTTTTGTAATATATTATTTAATATTAAGTTGAATAATAAAAATAAGTGAAATTAAAAAATTAATTAATTATAAAAATTTGTCATTGTTTTCTTTTTTTTAATGTTGGAAAAATATTTATAATATTTAATTGATGAATTTAAAAAAATTTATTTTACAGTCCTCGATTGATGAATTAAAAGAAGTATTGCCAGAAGAAATATACAAAGCAATTCCTGAAATAGTTGAATATTTACTTGAAGGTTTTGGAAATCCAACGCGTATTGATTATGGAACTGGTCATGAAATGGCATTTATTATGTTTTTGTGTTGTATGTTTAAAATTGGAGCTTTTAAAGAGCATGATAAAGTAACAGTTGCACTTAAAATATTCAACAGGTATTTTTATTGAAAAAATTTAATAAGTTCTTCAAATTTCATAAAATATAAAGATTATTTTATAAATTAAATTAAAATTCATTTTTTTTTTGAATAGGTATTTAGAAATTGTTCGAAGACTGCAGTTAATTTATAAAATGGAACCGGCTGGAAGTCATGGTGTTTGGAGTCTCGATGATTATCAATTTGTTCCCTTTATTTGGGGAAGTGCACAATTAAATGGTCATCCACGAATTGAGCCACAACATTTCGTTGATCATGGAGTAGTGGAAAATTATGGAAAACAATATATGTTTCTTGGATGTATTGATTATATTTGTAAAGTGAAAACTGGACCATTTGCTGAACATTCTAATCAACTTTGGAACGTTAGCGCAGTATCGTCATGGTCAAAAGTAAATAGTGGTCTTATAAGAATGTATAAAGCTGAGGTAAATTTATTTTTTATTATTATTATTACTTTATTATGAATTTATTACTTAATAAATAATTTTAATTTTGTTTCTAATATTTTCAGGTTTCATTAATATTTATTTTTTCATTTGTTTTTTTTATTTACTTTTTTTATTTTCAGGTCTTGGCCAAATTTCCAGTTATTCAACATGTTTTATTTGGTTCCTTATTCTCTATAAAACAAGCACCGGAAGGCGCTAATTGTAATGCATCTCTTCTTGGTCCTTCGGCAGGATTGAATCGTATATAAATCTTCCTTTTTTTAAAATTAATTTTCGAATTTGAAATAGTAGATTGTGAAAAGTAATTTTGCAAATAGCATTGGTGCTGCTGGCAGTTAAGTATACGAAAAAGAAAAAAAAAAGTTTAATCAATTCCTTGTTAATGATTCGATATTTTTGAAAATACTCATTTTTTTTTTGTTTACTTTAATTTACAGTTAAATGAAAAAAAAATTCAATTTTATTAAAATGAAATTTCATTGAAAAAAAAATAATGTAAGTATTAAGTTTTTAATGCTATTATTATAATTGTAATTATTATAGTTGATATAAAATATTTTTTAAATATCGTTAATTGAATGGAAGAAAATTAAAATAATTAAGAGTGTATGTGTGTAATAGATGTATCTAGTGTAATTTTTTCTGCTTCAATTCGAAAAATGTTTGTGAATATAGGAAAATTGAAAAAAAATATATATATATTTAATTAAGAAAAGTTTATTTGTTTTCATAAAAAAGAAACCATCAGTTAATAAAATAAAAATAAACTACTGAATAAAATTATTATTTAAATTTTAAAACAACTTAATAAATAATTTTTTTTATGGTCAATTAAAATTTTTTTTTAATTTAATATTTTAACTTTTTAAAAAATAAGAAATTGATGGTGAATAATATATTTGAAAAACTTAAAAAAGTTTACAAAGGAGAAATAAATTTTATTTTTATCTTTTTTATAAAAAAAATTAATTGCCTTACAATTGAATTTTAATTATTTTTCTTAATTATTATTTATTAATCATTATTATTATTATTATTATTATTATTATTATTAATAATACATTAATTAATTAAAAATAAATAATTATTTGTAATAATATAATTTTTCTATGTAACTAATTTGTGCCTTGAAAAAAAAAAAAAATTTCTTTTCACCTTGCATTTCTGTTGAAAAGGACGACTTCTACACCTGTTGTTATATTGACGAGAGAATAAAAGTGGTTTTCGACCTGTTAGTCAATGTTCCATCTCCTCCACCTTGAGACCTGAACGTGATGACGTCATCAAATTACAAAAGTTGGATGAAGAGTTGAGCCGCAGCCATTTCAGTCCGAGTTAACCAGACCATAGAAGACGAAGGCTTGATATTACAATTTGTTGCGTCGATCATTGATCTATATATGTATATATATATATCATGTCGATATGGTGATTCCCTGAAATGATCTACAATTCTTGTGAAGATCATTTATCATCATATTATATAGTTCAATGACTTCGTGGAATATTATTCTAAGACATACAACTATAAACAAATTCAAAGTGATTTTTGTTATCTCATAATCGGTGAATTTTATTTCATATAATATATATTTTTTTTATACTAAACATTTCGTTTAAAAACTGCATCAAAAGGATTCTTGAGAGGCATAACTATTACTATATTGAAAAGCAAACGCCCAGGTGAAAGGGAATTTATTGTTGAGGAACATTTCGTCTATATACAGAATATTTCATTCATAGAATTGTGAATTTTTATCAGAATGAATCCAGGTGAGAGACTATAATCAAATTTTTATTATTACCGAGTACTTCTTTTCAAAAAATTATTTTTTATTTAATTTTTATTTTTAATATTTTATTTAATTTTTATTTAATTTTTATTTAATTTTTATTTTTAATATTTTATTTAATTTTTAATTAATTTTTATTTTTAATATTTTATTTATTTTTTAATTAATAGTTATCAATACGAAAAAAAAGAATATTTACAATGATCAAAATTAATGATAATTTTCATTAAGAATAATAAAAACAATTACAATAAATAATAGTAATTATTAGTATTGTAAAAATTTTCCTAAAATTATTTTTTATTTAATTTTGTTTTATATTTTAATATTTAAATGATTATATTTTATTTTTATATTTAATCTATTATTCTTTATCATTTTTTCTATAATTTTTAAAGAATATAAATTAAAATTTTTTAATTAGTTAATTGATGATTTAAAAATTAATATTAATAATTATTAAATAATAATATAATAAATAAATATATTTTTAAAATAATATTATTGAATGAATGTTGAGTGTTAAAGCCATATATATGTAATTAACTATGGGAAATTGCTCTCTAGAAAAAAACAATTTCTCAATGAATTAAATTAATCATTGTAGCGTTGAATTAAGAACAAAGAATGTCTCAAGTTCTTAACATGAAGAGTTTCACACAAGTGCTCATTATATAACAAATTATGTACAATTATTGTGCGTGGGTAGGTTTTACAAAATGTTAATTTTCTCAAAGTGCACATTTATGTTGTCTTTTCAAATTATAAGGATGTAGAATAAAACATTCATCTATACGAGAAATTTTTTTATTTCAATCAAATATAATTTAAGCAAAAAAAAATTTTTTTATAATATTCTTAATAAATAAACTATTTATTTAAAATAATTTCTTATGGTACAAGTAAATTTTTTTTTGTTTTTAACTAAAAAAAGAAAAATTAAATAAAATTTATTTAAGAAATAAATATATTTTTTTTTGAGTGTAAATTAACATAAATTAAAAAAAAAAAATTATAAATAATAAATTGTGTTATTATTTTCAGTACAGATTTTCAAAATAAAATATTGTTGACAATTCAATGATGACATCGAATAATAGTGAAAATAAAAGAAAAACGTGAAGATAATAAAATGTATTTGATAAAATTTCAATAAACATTGAGTTTTGGAATTTATTTATTTTGTCAAATGATTTTCGTTTGGATCTTTATACAGTGATTTTTGAATTAAATGATTAGAAGATTATTTCTTGAGCAATGATGTGGCCAATAGTGAGAAAAATATGTCGAATTAGACTGATTGTATTGTTTACAATATTTGTCGTTGGTTTAATTTTTATTTGGTCAAAAATTGGAATTCAAAACGATGGCAATTTTAATGCATTTCGGTTAGTTTATTGAATTATTTTTCAATTTATTTTCATTTGATATTTATAATATATAATTTATTTATCGACATTAAAATTATTAATTCAATCAAGTGTATAAAAATAGATTTAAAAAAATAATTTTAATTAATGTTTATAGATCATCAGACAGAGGGAAAGATTACATAGATCGAAGAGGAATTCACGTTGTGGTTGGTCATTATATTGGCGATTCGGTCGATCCTTTAAAAAGTCCCAATATTACAAAAGGTATAATTTTGTAAAAAAAAAATTAATTTAATACAAAAAAATTTGTTTTCATTTGTCATTGAATATTTTTTTAAGTTTTAATTAAAAGTGTTAAAAATTTGAAAATTTTTATTTTACACTTTTGCAAATGATAATTGATTGTTTATATTTTGTTTAGATCTAATTAATAAAAATATGTTTAATCCCCGACCATTTGAGGGAAGAGATGGAGATCCAGTTTTGATTCCTTCAAAAGATTTTTATGTGATGCAACAACTTTTTCAAATAAATAGATTTAATTTAATGGCAAGCGATCGAATTCCTTTGAATAGATCGTTGCCTGACGTTAGGAAAAAAAGGTTTGTTAATTAATTTTTCTTATTTTCTTATTTGTTTTTTTTTTATGTTGAGTAAAAATAAATTGGTTACATTATTTTATTTATTATAATTATTTTTATTTTAGGTGTATATCACGTTATGCAAATATTGATGGTTTGCCAAAAACTTCAATTATTATAGTTTTTCATAATGAAGCTTGGAGCACACTTTTACGAACGGTTCATAGTGTTATTAACAGATCTCCAAGACAATTGCTTGAGGAAATTATTTTAGTTGATGATAATAGTGATCGAGGTATGAACATTTTTTTAAATTTTCTTTTGGGTTTATTTTATTTATTTTTATTTATTTATTTAAGTATTTTTTATTCTTTATTTTTTAAATTTTAATTTATTTACTTTTTCACTACTTTATTTTCTATTTGAGTTAACAGTAAATTTTTATCTGAAAACAGAATTTCTCAAGACTCCATTGGATGAATATGTGAAAAATTTAACTGTACCAACTTATGTTTTGAGATCTGTAAAAAGAGTGGGACTCATAAATGCGAGACTTTTAGGTGCTAATGCAGCAAAGGGAGAAGTTCTCACATTTTTGGATGCTCATTGCGAATGCACGGTTGGTAGGTGAGATCTGATTATTTAAATACACAATATTAATGAAAATTCATTTTCTATTTATTTATTCTTTTGAAATATTTAAATTCAATTTTTTTTTTTAATATCTTAAACGTATAAAGAATTTAATAATTGATTAGTTATAATTTTAAGAGTTTGTTTTTATTTTTAAAAATTAATTAATTTACTAATCAACAGGATGGCTGGAACCTCTACTTGAAGCAATTTCGAAAAATAGAACCAGAGTTGTTGCTCCAGTGATAGATATCATTAACGATGATACTTTTAGTTATGTCAGGTAAATTATTATTTTTTTTTAATTTTTTACAATTTAATATTTTCTTCTTGTTAAATCGAGACAAATAAAAATTAATTTTTTTCATTTCTAACTATAATATGTAAATACGGAAATATGTTTCGTTATTATTTACCTTTTGAAAATGATGTCATTTAATATCATGTTTTGGGGTTGCATATGGCACACGAACCGGAACAGTTTGCTTATTTTACAATGATTTGAGATCATTGCGGTCACCAATTGATCTTTGGCCTTAGATCACGACACAAAGCTTGAGACTCTTGAAAATTGCCCCAACTTTTAATATCCGTCTTATGAAATCTATAGATTTAAAGTAATTTTTTTTTTATTTTAATAACAATAATTTTTTAAAACACTTATGTTATATTTTTTAATTATATTGTAATTTAATTTTGTACTTTGGTATTCGTTTTTCTATTCGTAAATGAATAAATAATAATAATAATAATCACAACTAAAATGTAATTAAAGTCTTTTTGACCTTTGCTATATAATAATAAAATGAAACTGTATTAAAAGATTAAATTTCAAATTTGCCAGGCTGATTAATCTGTTTTACGATTACAACAAGTAGGAAGTTTATTTCTTCATTTTATTGCAAAATAAATTAAAAGATTAAACTGCTAATCAATAAATTTATCATTGACGTTAAAAAATTTTTTCCAAATTATTGATAATAAAAAATTTTTTTTTTGGAATTTTTCAGATCATTTGAATTGCATTGGGGAGCTTTTAATTGGGATCTTCATTTTCGATGGTTGACATTGAGTGGTCAAGTTTTAAAGGAACGTCGTGAAAATATTGTTGAACCATTTAAAACACCAGCAATGGCTGGTGGATTATTTTCAATGGATAAAAATTATTTTTTTGCCCTTGGTAGTTATGATGATCAAATGCAAATTTGGGGTGGAGAAAATCTTGAATTGTCATTTCGTGTTTGGCAATGTGGAGGTTCAATTGAAATTGCTCCATGTTCTCATGTTGGTCATTTATTTAGAAAATCATCACCGTATACATTTCCCGGTGGTGTTGGTGAAATTCTTTATGGAAATCTTGCGCGTGTTGCTCTCGTTTGGATGGATGAGTGGGCGGATTTTTATTTTAAATTTAATCCCCGTGAGTTGAAAAATAATTAATAATTTCAAAAAAATGAAATTCATTTTTTTTTCTATTTTATTGAAATTTAATTTTTTTAAACAGAAGCTGAAAGAGTGAAAGATAAGCAACAAGTGAGATCACGATTGGAAATGAGAAAAGCCCTAAAATGTAAAAATTTTGAATGGTATTTGGACAATGTGTGGCCCGAGCATTTTTTTCCAAAAAAAAATCGATTTTTTGGCAAGGTATATTAGATTTAAAAATTGAGAAATAATTTTTATAAAAATGAAATAATATATAATAAATTTTTTAAAATGTACCTTTTTTTTAGATTCAACACGTTCAATCGGAAAATTGTTTAATGAGACCAATGGGTAAGGGAACGTATAATCATCCAGCGGGAAATGTAATAATTCTTCCATGTATAAATCCTCCAAATTTGGTCCAAATGTTTGTGATGACCAAAGAAGGTGTGATAATGACAGATGAAAGTGTCTGTTTGGATGCACCTGAAAAAGATACTCAACACATTAAACCAAAAGTAAAGATTATGATGTGCAATGGTCTCGAGAGACAAAAGTGGGAGTACAATGAGGAGGTAATTATTTTAAAATTACTTTATTTCCTTTTTATATTCTGTATTACTGACATTAAAACTACTTTCTCGTTTTTTTTTCCTTTATTTTATTAAATTTAAAAAAATCCAAATTTAGTTTTATTTTTTTATTTTTCTATTTTATTAAATGTCTTATTGTATTTCTCAGACCAGGAAATTGATTCACAAATCATCAGGAATGTGTTTGACGGTGTCGAGTGATAACAAAGAAGGTCCAGTGATAGCCTCATGTGACGAGAGCGTGGACCAAGAATGGATGTTGAAATCAATTCTTTGGAAAAATGATTCCTAATTAAATTATACAATTTCAATAGTATAATTATTTCGCTCAGAAATATTTTGTAAATTCCACTCAATTTTTATTCAAAAAAAAAAGGAAAAATCGCAATAATTTAGAAAACTTTTTTTTAAAAATAAATTTCCCCATAGATGATATTAATTGCAAAAGACTGATATTTAGATAAATTTATATTTTATAAGTTTAGTTCGTAAACTTGTAAGTACTTAAGTGTGTCTGTTTCGCGGATGTTTGCAAATTTTTTTTTTTTAATGTATGCAGTAATTAATAAAAAAAATTATCTTAAAATTTGTTTCAATATTTGTATTGAATTTTCCTTAATAATTTAATAATTTTTTTTTTTATTATATTAAATTATCAAAAAAGAAAAATGAAATAGAAATAAAAAAAATGAAATTAAATTTAGAAAATAAAAAAATTTTTAACTATAAAATGAAAAAAAAAATCGGAACTTTCTTAAATAAGAAGAGCGTTTCTGGAAAGAGAGGTAATTTTTTTCTTTTTTTTTTTTTTTTTTTCATTTTTGACATTGAAGGGTGTTTCCGCCTCGACTTTAAATTAGTTAATCTGACATCAACATGTTCTTTTCAAGGCGTTGGACTTTCTCAAATTATATATTTTTTTTTCTGACACGTGCGCGCTTGCTTTTAAAGAAAGTACTCGTAATTCAAAGTCGTAATCTCGCGCAAGCGGTATTGTGCGTTGAGAGACGACGCGTTTATAAAGCTGACATTGTGCGCTCACTTCCTCGATTTCAGCTTTTCCTCTTCAACTGGTCTGCGGAGAAAACTGCTCTCATTTGAAAGAAAAAAAAAAAAAAAAAAAATCATTTTTATTCTGTCTTTATTGCCAAGTTCAACTCGAACGTAAATTCAAGCAATTTCTAAAAGCAAAAAGCATTTTTTTATTTTAAATATTTTAATTTTTAATTATAAGCGAAAAGAAAATTAATGTGTATAAAATATTATCCTAAATAATTTCATTTTCCTTTTGAGAATAATAAAAAAAACTTTTTTTTCTGAAAAATAAATAAATTCTAAAAAAATAGTAAACTTAAAAATAAAAAGTACAAAAATTAATATAATTAATATAAAAAGAGAGAAAAAAACTAGCTATTAATTAATTAAAAAACAAAAACGCATAGTAATTATAATTATATATAAAAAGAGGAATTTTTTACAAAATATTAATAAAATTATTCTATTCATTAGAAATTATTAATATAATTAATTCCGACGTGAGATTCGGTCCATTTTATAACAAAATATTTTAAAACTAGATAAATGTTTATGAAATTTGAATAAAATAAACACATTTTGAAATTATATTAATTGACTCTCAATTTTAGATAAAAAAAAATAAATAATAAATATTTTCGAAACTATTATAGTAAAAATAAATAAACAAATTTTGAGGTTACCTTTGCTTTTTTACGAATCAAACATTAATTTAATCGAATTTCTCTATTTTCACACTTTTCTTATTCATTAATTAAAAGAAAAACCCATTGAAAACATAACAAAAAAAGTGTAACTAACATAATTAATCAAAAAATTACTTTTATTGATAAATTCAATGAAAATTGTTATTTATTTCAATTTTTGTTGACATTTTATTTTCAATGTTTTTAAGTTTTGATATATTTATTTTCTTAAAGTTGGCACAAATTTCAAATAACCTGCGCAAATTATAAAAAATGTCCAATTTTTCCGCGCAAACGGAAGTGGACAATAAAAATTTGTCCGCCAATGAGACATCATCTTCTATTTCGCCTTAAGGTTTTCAACCAATCAGAGCATATCGCCGTCCCTTAGTTCATTGTCGTTGAAAAATTTTCACATTGTGGCGGTTTCTTCCCGTTCTCCTCATTTTTCCATCGAAAAAGGTAAATTATTTTTACTATTTGACTAATTTTTATATCCTGACAGTTATTTTAGTTGAGAAACATTGTATATTATAATAATTTTGACAAAAAAATAGCCCTTAATTGTGAAATGTGTGAATCACCCCTTGTTTATTGTTGCACATGCACAGTTGGCAAAAATTGACAAATTCTCGTGAAATTATTGAAAGTTTTTTGTTTTTAGAAAATATTTCCCAACTTTTGTGTAAATATTAAATATTTAAGGTTATTTTTATGCATTGATTTGTTTAATTAAAATCAACGAAGTAGAAGTGTTATAATGTTTTTTTTTCGCCAAAATGGCGTCGTTTGTCTATAAATCATAATTTTTATTTTCGCAGCTTTCCACTTGGATAATTGGCACATTTAATTGAATATCCATGAAGAAACTTTGGCTATTTAGAACTCGGTCTTTTTGTAAGGTTACGTTCGATATTTTCGAATTTCGATCGTAACCTAAAAAAGGGATCTCCGAGGATTAAATATTGCCTGAAGTCGGGATCTCATAGAAAACAATAGGAGATAATTCACATTTATGGTAAGCGAAATATGTATTTTCTATTATTTTTAATTATTAGAAATGTTTTTCTGCCTTTTACAACTTTTGATATATATATAATATCGTTTTTTATATAGTTAAATCGTAATTGCTATAATTTTATATTTTTGATAAAAAAAAAAAGTTTATTACATTAATAAATTCTAGGTTAGATTTTTGTGTCAAATAGAATTTTAACAAATCTTTCAAAATGATTAGATATTTATAGAATGTTAAATAAAATAAAATAATTTTTATTATTTATTGTTACACACTAAAATATCATTTTTTTTCTAAAATATTAAGAAATTATTAAATTAATTTAAAATAATATTAAGAAATTATTAAATTATTTTAAAATAATATTAAGAAATTATTAAATAAATTTAAATAATATTAATTAAATTAAAATTTATTCCTCGGTTTTTAATTTATGTTGAGAATATGTTTAATAATTTTAATATAGATTTAATTATAAATTTGATTTAATTAATTATGTAAATAATTTAAATTTAGAATTTATCTAAATAAAAAAAAAAACTTATATATTATAATTAAATTTTATTTGATAGAATTTTTTTTTAATTCTTTCAATTTTTTTTCTTTTGTAGTGCCTCTAAAAGGAAGAGTAAAAACCACCACCATTGAAGTTTAGAGTCAGTGCTTTTTTTTTTTTTTAAAAAGATAAATTGTATTATTTTTTAAAAAAATTTGATTAACCTAAATATAGTGAATTTTTAACGTAAAATTTAAAATCAGTGCGCGAGTAGGAAAAATATTTGAATCAGAATTTTTTTCACCGAATTTTATTAATAATATTTTAATTTTGTAAACGTCAATTAAATAATTTTTTTTAATTAATAAAAAAATAAAATTTTTTAATTAATTAATTTTTTTTAAATATCAAAAATTTCAAAAAATATCAATTTTAGGTGATTAATATTTTTATTTATCTCATATAAACAGGCAATTTTGTTTGATACATTGTGAAATTGATTTTAATTTTTTAGAATTGAATTGAATTTATATTTATTTAAATAATTTAAAAATTGATTCAAATATTTTATTTTCGTGTGTAAAGTGCTTCAATAGGAAGGAATCCTATCGGGCGTTTTCTACTGTCAGCTAAGGTAAATTTCATTATTTGTTTGGTAATAATTAATTTTAATTTTTATAATTTTAAGTATTTAAGCCTAATAATCTTGATTGCAAATTAATTTAATATGAGATATATAATTTCGGAAATAGAATTTTAAATAGAATTGCTTATAACCAAATTTTCTATTTGTTTAAAAAAAAAAAATAAAAAAAAAAAATAATAATAATAATAATAATAATAATAATAGTAATAATAATAGTAATAAACTGAAAAAAATTTATTTGATTCAAATACTCGATTATTATCAAATAAATATGTATCTGTATCAAATAATTATTATTTGAGTCAATTAAATGGTATTTATTTCAAATACAGAAATTATTGGTTCAAATACAGTTTGTTTAATTCAAATAAAAATTATTTGGTTCAAATAAATATTTATTTGGTTCAAATAAATATTTATTTGATAACAGTCAAGTAATCGAGTATTGGAATCAAATAAATTTTTTTTCAGTTTAATAATTAATTAATAATTTTTTATTTTCTCTAATCTTGTTTAGAAATTCTATACTTTTGCGCTTCTAAAAAAAAAAAAAATCATAATTTTATATTAAAAAAAAAGGGAATCGTGTGAATTATTATTTCAATCTGAATAATCAAATATGCATTTATAATTGTAGATGAAACTGGTTTCGATTATGTATACATATAGTTGATACGAAAAAGTCTCTATTTAAAGAGGTTCTTTCCTCTCGGGAGAACATCCTGCGTACTTATTGTCATTTAAGTGATTCACTGATAGTTAAGGTAGTGCGTGATGAGCCAGTTCTGTTGTCATCGTTGTCAAGGTCAGATTTACAATCGTTCCAATTTGCCTTTACTTTCAAGGTGTCTTCAGGGTTGACTCTAAAAAATGATTATTATTATTATCATCATCATCATCATCATCTTTTTTTTTTTTACTCCAGTTTTCCTGTGAATTTTAATTTCTTTCAATTGCAATATAGACAATAATCTTCAATGGAAAAAACAATTAATTCTTGGAAAAAATAAATATTTATTGTCTCGTGGAATATATGAAAATTTTAAGAAAAAAAAAAAAATCTGTTTTATAATCTTAAAACTAAATCAAATTTTCAATTACAAACTTTAAATATAAATATATAAAATAAATTAATAATTTAAAATTGGAATATTTTTTTTTGAATTGGTTTGGGTAATGAAAAAACAATAAAAAATGATAAATCCTTTAGTTATATAGTAAATTCTTTATAAAAGAAAATTTTATCTTCTTAATAATCTGTAATAATTATATCATCATTATATCATTAAATCGAATCATTACCCTACTATTATTGTGTTATTACATTGTCGTTATAGTCCCGTAATTGTAAATTATAGGTTTCATTACTATCGCTATTTAAAATTAATTTCTATTAATTAATTTACTTTTACTCCACTTTCATCTTTCGATAAAAGGGGTTAAATGTTTTGAAAATTATATTTATAAAACTAAAATCGTTCTAATTTTCGCGAATATTTAAAAAAAAAAAGTATATATTTTAAATTTCAGAATTTTTTTCGGTTTTAACACAGAAAATTAAAAGGCATTAAAATAAGCTGCAACGCTTCTTATTTTAATCCAATTTTACTTATTTTAATACCAAAATGGATTAAAATAAGCAAAATTGGATTAAAATAAGAAGCGTTGCAGCTTATTTTAATGCCTTTTAATTTTCTGTGAAAATAAATGAATGTTATGGATATTAAATAATAATTATAATAATAATAATAATAAATGAATTATTATTTAAATTATTATCTTTTAATAATGTTAAAAATTAATATTTTGAGAACTTTTTTTTTTGTACACTAGTATGTTTAAATAGTAAATAATAATGATTAAATATTTGTTTATGATGTACATAATTGTAATACGACTCGGATAATTTTAAATAGCGATTGACTTTTTTTTTTTTTTTTTTCCTTTGAAACACTGTAAATCATATGATTTTTGTATATAGCAACTCGTATAGAAAAATCATAGTATTTAAATGCTTAAAGAAGATTAATGACGACACGTTGGGCGTGTTGTGTTGAACCAGGAAAATAAATCGGAGTTGATCTTAACGAGATTCGATGATACTCTTATTTATGATCGTCTGCATCAGAAGCGTAGCGACTTAATTAGTGTACGATCAAGGCTTACAGCTTCTTTTTTTTTTTTTTTTTTTATTCAGCCCTGATTACCGTAGGCAAATACGTCCTGAGAAGGTCGTGATTTAATGCGCCAAGTTTCTTTATTCCTATACGTTCCCTCTCTCTCTCTCTCTCTCTTTTCATGCTTCTGTGATTCTTCCGGAAAACTATTTTCTTATTTCACAAATTGTGACCTTCCTTTGAATAAAAAATTAGAAAAAAAAAATTTTTTTTAACCACTTGAGAGTCAAAAAATTTTTTTGTCAATTAAAATGTTTTGTTGTCTAAAAAATCAATTTAAAAGTTTTATTTATTTAAATTAATTTCTTCTTCCTCTTATTGAATTTTATTTTTATTTATCAAAAATGCGATTCAAATGAAATGAGAGGTAATTGAAAATGATTTAATTGGAAAGTGACGAAATTTAAACGTTTCCTCTTAAGTCATGAAAAGATTGAGAGCTTAAATATAATATGTTGAAAATAAACAAGTGGGTGCAACTTCTTTTTTTTTTTTTTTTTTGTTCTCTCTCCCTTTGCCTCCATTGTATGGCAGATATAACCATAAATAAAGAGTTGCTCATCTCATCCAAACTTGGAGATTGGTTGAAGGTGATCGCAGGGAATAAAGTAACGGAGGATATAAGTCGTTGGTTAAGTGTTTTCCTGTCCCCTTCTGAGGACGTGACTTTGACCCAGATGCAGAAAGACTCTGTTCGCCAGATAAAAATTCAACGACAATATCCATCCTGAAGAGCATATAAGAGACATTTGCTGTTTCATGTTCTTGTGTTATTTAATTCAGAAATAAAGGGGAGTAATCTTGATTCAAGTCACGCTTTCTTTTATTAAAGTAAAAACAATCCAAAAATTGTCTGTTAAAAATTCATTT